CCCAGAAGGTGGTTTCAAATAGGGTCCACAACCCCATGTCCCGCGTGTGTTAAGCCACTCTCCGGCAGGAGGGGCTCTGTCCAGGGGAATCCTTTGTTTCTAAAAGAGCTTCGAATCCCCTAGCATTTTCACCTAGCCATTCTAATCTCCAGTCTTACAACTTGCAAAATGTTTCCTTAGAAATGTTCCGTTAGATGGCCAATAGGCACATGAAAAGATGCTCATCATCGCTGATCATCAGGGAAATGCAAATCAAAACTACACTAAGATATCACCTTACACCCATTAGAATGACAAAAATATCTAAAACTAATAATAACAAATGTTGGAGAGGTTGTGGAGAAAAAGGAACCCTCATACACTGCTGGTGGGAATGCAAACTGGCGCAGCCACTATGGAAAACAGTATGGAGATTCCTCAAAAAATTAAAACTAGAACTACCATACGATCCAGCCATCCCACTACTGGGTATTTATCCAAAGAGCTTGAAGTCAGCAGTCCCAGAAGTCCTATGCACCCCAATGTTCATTGCAGCATTATTCACAATAGCCAAGACATGGAAGCAACCTAAGTGCCCATCAATAGATGAATGGATAAAGAAGATGTGGTACATATATACAATGGAATACTACTCAGCTGCAAAACAGAACAAAATCATTCCATTTGCAATAACGTGGATGGACCTTGAGGGAATTATGTTAAGTGAAATAAGCCAGCGAGGGAAGGATAATCTGTGTATGACTCCATTCATATGAGGAATTTAAAAATGTGGACTAAGAACAGTTTAGTGGATACCAGGGGAAAGGTGGGGTGAGGGGTGGGCACAAAGGGTGAAGTGGTACACCTACAACACGAATGACAAACATTAATGTACAACTGAAATTTCACAAGATTGTAAACTATCATTAACTCAATAAAAAAAAAATACAAAAAGAAAAGAAATGTTCCATTAAATATCATGTAAGAAATAGTACTTTCTTTTCCCTTTTAATCTTAAATGTTAATTACTATTTATCTTTTCCTTCGCCTTCTTAAGGAACTATCAGGCTCTCCACTTCTGCCTCTTATTACAGCAGATTTCCTCTTTGACCTCAGCATCCCTGGGAAGTCTCACCAGATTTTGAGTCTGCCTTTGATCCCCCTCAGATATACAACAGTTTGAGCTTTTCCCTTCTCATACCGTGTATTTCTCAATCTTTCTCGTTAACACATCTAACTAGCATCCTTGTTTGCTTTTGTGACAATAAAGGGCATTATTAGTAAACATCTGGGTTTCAATTGATCCTTTTAAAAATGCAATGCATTTTGTCTCCGTCTCTAAATCTTGTGCTTAATTTTCAGTTTGTCGTTAGAATAAGAGGTAATGTTTGTTGATCACTCACTCTTTTCCAGGCACTGTGCCAAATTGTTTACATGTGGTGTCTCATTTGATGCCTGAAGCTTTGTGAGGCACCATCATCCCTATGAAACTGCAGCCAGAGAGGTCAAGGAATTAGCCCAACAAGCAAATGGTGGAGCTGGAATTCGAGGCTCTGACCCCCAAGCTCATGTACTTAAACCAGGCGTTATCATAGCCTCAGTCTTGCTTGGTTAGCCTCATTTTGAAGCACTTGTTAAGTGCCAGGCTCTGTGGGAAGTGTGTTAACACAATCACCATGACCCAGACACTATTTTAGCCCCGTTATTAGTGATAAAAAGGCTGCAGAAGAGTTCAGTGTCATCCCTGCTCCAAGGAGGAGGCTAACAAGTTCTGTTTGGCTGAATCCTGACTCTGGGTTTGGTGAACTTGGTTCATGATCTCTGGGTGGCTCTGCTCTGCACCTGAATCTGTGTTCGTTGATCTAGCTTGCCAACCTGATGGGTGAAAAGAATGGCATTTCATTGTAGTTTTAATTTGCAGTTTTCTTATCGGAAGAGTGAGCATCTTCTCATTTTTCTAAGTACTGTCTGTTTATATCCTTTGTTCCTTCTGCTTTTTCAAATCAGACAGCTTCCTTCATCACTGGGTATCTATCCCTCAACAGGCACTGACTTCCCTATCTCAGCCGTGCCATGTTCGCATGAATTAACATGGGCAGCATACAGTGGACACTTCATTCCATAAGTACTGGTCACAGCCTCAGTTCTTGGTTATGTTCCTTTTTCTATGTCTTTTTCAAATTACATTAAGTAGGGCAAAAAATTTAAATGAGAAAGAAATAGCAACCAGCCTCATTCGTTTGAAACGAGTAGTTGTGGTTCATTGTAACTGCATTTAAATGAGGAGAGGAGTATCAGTCAGTACAGGGAAGGTTGTGCAGCGGTAACAAAAAATCCCTGGTCTCAGTGATTTTTACACCGGTCGAGTTCCACCTCCCTAGGTCAGCAAGGAGTGTTGGCTCTCTGTAATTTCTCAAGGAGCCAGGCTGGGAGGGGCTTCAGCTCAACACATGTTTGCGTGATCTTAGAGGCAAGAAAAGACAACCTGATGCACTTTGAGTTGGCTTCTTAAGCCTGTGCAAGAAGTGACACATATTCCACTGACCTCACTGGCCAGAGTGAGTCAGATTGCTATGCCCAGGTTCAAAAGTGCAGAGACAGGGTCCTGCTGCGTGCACACCCGAGGGAACCGAATGCTTGTGAATCCTCGATGACCATCACAGGAGGTGTGTGGTCATCTTCTGTACCTTGAATAGCAGACATCCTTAGACTACACTGAGCAAAAAGAGATTTGGTAGTGACTTAAAAAGCAAAAGCTCTGTCCTGACAAAAATAACAGGTGAAGACAGAATTTAGCTCTCCTCCTCTTAAATCATGGTGACGACATTATCAATAAGCCAGTGGGGTCACAGGTATTGTTTTCTAAAAGCTGTGTCTTCAGGACTGGCCGGGAGTTGATACGTGTTGAAGCTGGGTGATGGTGACGTTGCTGTTCTACCTGCTTTTGTGGACGTTTGAAAATGTCTTTGATAAAATGTGCCATTTGCTGTGCATTTCCCATGTTTCTTTCCTCTCTGCCACAACCATCTCAGGTTGTTCTGATCCTCTGCTACATCCTGTCCTCTGCTACTGCATGTGTTTCGAGTCATCTCCTCAGTTGTTTGTTGGATATAAGCACATTTTAAAAAATTATTTTGTTGGCTTTCCCTTTGTTCTAAGATGTCAAACTCTTCGTAATGTTTTAGAGTATTTCTTGATGACCTCTAGTTGTATTATATCTGTTTCTTTTTTTAAATGGTGAGGAAGATCGTCCCTGAGCTAACGTCTGTGCTGGTCTTCCTCTATTTTGTACGTGGGACGCCTCCACAGCGTGGCTTAACGAGTGGTGCACAAGTCTGCACCCAGGATCCAAACCTGCAAAGTCCGGGCCGCTGAAGCACAGTGCGTGAACTTAACCAGCACGCCACTGGACCGGCCCCTGTTTTTTTTAAGGTGTAGATTTATTGAATTTCAGAGTTCAATTACATCACAGTCTAATGATAAAAAGTATTATTTTCTGTCTCTTCCCTTTACCTCCTCCCTAACCTCGGTGTATGTTTTAGAGGTGAGATCATTTTCTTTATTTATAAAAAGAAAGCTGTAATGACCCCGAGACCATGTGGTCCAGGGGCCAGCAGTTCTAACACGTGGTACAGCTGGCATTGCACACGTCCTGACGTTCTTCCTGGCTGCCTGCTGGGTTGTAGGCACTGTGCAGAGTGGGAAAAACAACAGAGAGGAAGAGGACAGACCCTGCCCTCAAGCTGCTCGCCGCCTGAACCAGACCCTTCAGCGGATAATCATCAGAACAACGTTGTAGGTCGATGACAGACATGCCCATGGAACCGGGTGGAGGAGTAACAGCGTGTGGGAGGGGGACCATTCTGCCTCGTCAGGGGGGCGCTGAGCCAAGTCTCACGTGAAGAAGGTTAGCAAGGCGGTTGGGGAGGACGTCCAGGTAGAGGGGCAGTGAGGGGCAGGCAGGAGCCACAGATGGATCTGCGTTCTCACAAAGTTTGAAGCTGAGATGAACAGAGGGGGCGGGCGAAGCAGGCAGGCGTCGAGCGATGGAGGCCTTCGAGTGGCTCTTTGAGAAGCGTGGACTTTACCCCGCCAGCTTTCAGTCAATATTTGTGTGCGTTACGTGGGTTGTTCACCATAATGACAGTCGCTTTGCATTATCAGATTGATTCATTAGGACCCACCCAGCCACGGCACTGTGCCCATGGTCACTCAATGCCGAGGAAAACAGCATTGATCTGCTCACACTCCGGGCTGTATTTCTCAGGTTCAGCAAATATCCAAGGATGCTTTAGCACAGACCAGGCCTGTGTCCTGATTGAGGAGGCCTAGCTCAGGAGTACCATTGCTCCATCCCAATAGGGTGGTATGTTTCTCCTGTAGAACATGGGTCCCTCCTGGCAGGATCACCAACTGGTGAAGATGCCGGGCGTCATGGCCCAGAAGTGTTCCCCCCCCAGTCTCTTCTGAGTGACCCCCACACTCAGCTACCTGACTGGGAAGCTGCGCTGGGAGCATGATGGAATAATTCAGACATCTTCCTCTCCCTGGGGAAAAATCCAGGGGCTTTCACGGCACACAGGCAAAGGTCTTTTCAGGGACAGAAGGTTGCCTCCCCCAGAGATAGTCTGTGTTATGCTTGGTCTCACGTGTAGACTGGAGGCCTCCCAAGACAGAAGCACACAGCTCTCACCTGTACACGGATTCCCATGTGTGGCTGAGAAGCTGGCCTCATGGTGTCAGAGTCACTTTGAAGGGAGACAGAATTTCTTTTGCTCTTGACTCTGGAGCCTGCCTCATCTCCGGCATTGCTGGAGGCTTGCCCAGCACCTGTGTCCCTGGAGCCTGGCTCGTGGCCCCCCGGGCCCTCCCAGGCCGTCCCTCTGTCCTCCTGTCCTGTTACGTCTCATCTCTTAGAGCCACACTGGGGCCTGCTCGTGTCTTCCTGGCCTCGGCACATTTACTCTCCATTGTAAATGTCACCACTTTCTTCCTCCTGTGTTTTTCCTCTTGTTTTCCAGGCTCTTCAGAGTAACCTGAGGTATTCCTTGTTGCCAAGACGGCTTGTTATCAGCAAGAGATTAGCCCAGTGCCTGCATCCTGCTTTGCCCAGCGGTGTGCACTTAAAAGCCCTCGAAACTTATGAGATTGTCTTCAAGATTGTGGGGACCAAATGGCTGGCCAAGGATTTGTTCTTGTACAGGTACAACAGCTTCCCCACGGTACTACTTTTTTATTACCCAAGTAATCCCTGTTTCAGTTCACAAGATTAAAAAATGATACAAGCAGAATATGGAGGGGTGTGCAGCCATTCGTCATAAAGCCACCACCAGGAGGTTAACCAGGGCTCACCCTCTGGAGTGCATCCCCCCAGACTCTCCTTCAAGTCTGTTTTAGCTAGGAGCGTAATGTCCATTCTGCCCAGGTGCCTGCTCTTTGCTAACAGTATGTGCGACCATCCCACGACAAGTGAGCATCTCCTCCACCAGTTTAAATGGCGGCCTGGCTGCTTTGGAAACCCACTTCAGCTGGCTCATGATTTGGAACTTCTGATGAGGCGTCTCACTTATCCCTCCTCTTTTTCCTTTCCCAAAGCTGTGGGTTGTTTCCTCTTCTGGCGAACGCAGCCATGTCGGTGAGGCCCGTGCTGCTTGGCCTGTATGAGAAGTACTTTCTCCCGCTGCAGAAGCTGCTCCTGCCCAGTCTCCAGGCCTTCATCGTGGGCCTGCTGCCCGGCCTCGAGGAGGGCTCGGAGATCTACGACAGGTGGGTGTGCTCCCGCCAGTGCAGACAGCTGTGCCGCATCCAGGCCGGCGGACAAGCAGCTTGTGTTTCATTTCACTGCTTTATAAGAAACGGGAAGAAGTACAGAGACATAGGAAAAGGGAAACGTGCAGAAGTGGGCTTGATGTTTTACATTTCTCTGGGGGCTCTCTGCTTGACAGAGTACTGTGTTTCCTTGGGAGTTACCTCCCTTTGCAGGGAAGAGTCAGAAGGCGAGAAAGTTTCCCAGGTTCACACAGTCAGCCAGTTGCAGAGATGGGATTCTGCCCCACGTTTGTCAGATTCTGAAGTCCTCTGTGCCATTACACTGGGCTGCTTCTAAGTGAAAAAGCGAAGTGAGGTTTCATTGGCTTCTTCCTGAGGCTCGAAAGGTGATGCTAAGCAGAGTAGCTTGACAAATTTCAGCAACACCTTGGGGAAATTTCTCAGGCTCCCATGCGTAAAAGGTGATGCGGGCTGCTTTGGTCACTGCGTGGGAGCAGAAGGCGTATATCGATGAGACTAGTGAGTACAGAGTGCCATGTTTTCCTGGAGAATTAGAGTGTGAGAACCCTCTTCCAGTGTGTTGATCACTCTGAGTGATGCCACAGTGATTAACCTCTGTTAATAGGACCCGTTTTCAGAGCCCCTGTGCAGCCTGACTGGGAGGTTTGGAAACCTTCGTGCTTGCAAAAGTTTCCATTTGATTACACAATACACTGCTCAGATTTTCCCCACGCCAGAGGCCCCAGCCACACCGCCTCTGCTGTTGTGTTGGCTGTGACTGGAGGGGGTAGGGGGTGGGGTGGAAGCAAGGAATCAATCCAAGGGCTACTTGGAGTGCTCCCCTAAACTCAAGGAAACCAAATAATCAGAATGGTTTGAGGGGTTGTGGCTAGTGACCAGAGGTGCACTGCATGAATGTCTTTACTGGGGTCTGGCAAACCTAACCAAAAATTTCCACTTCAGCCATTTCAAGCTTTCACATAGACTGCGTGGTGGCTTTCCATTTCCCAAGGGGGAATCTATCTTTGCAATGGATTGAGCCACTAGGATCCACTTCCCTAGGAGGCAGAGTCTGTCTCGTTGCCATTTCAAGCCTGGCACCATGCCCTGTGGCTGGCACATTGTGAGGCCCAGTAGGTGTGTGGGTTAATGAAAGGTCAAGGTCACATAGGGGTCAGCAAGAGGACCTTTACCAGATTCTCTCTCTTAACTGCTAGTCCCAGGCTCTTTCTAGAAGTTCTAGTCCATTCATGTTCTCCTAACAGATGTGTGTGTGTCTGTGTGTATGTGTATGTGTTTGTGTAAAATGTTCTTCCATCATCTGACAGACTAACACATCAGTTCCCAAAGTGTGTTACACTTTTTTAGATCTGTGAGAGTGAATCACACTAGAAGCACGTAAATAGTTGTGGTGTTTTTTTATGTTCTCTTAGTTGATAAATGAGGGTTCATTTGAACAGTTGTTAACGTTGCTCAACATGGGTGTTTTTCCCCTAACATTGTGATTTCTTGACATTGAACCAAGAGCTGAGTAAAGCTGCATGAATCACTGAGAAGATGTAGCTGTGGCAGAAAACCAGGTCCACTGTCTGCAGCACCCAGAGTTATTAGTTATCACGAGTTGTTAGTTACCAGCTTTCCAGGGTAGAGGCTGGTTGAGGGGACGGAGTAGGATCTCTGAGCGGGTGTGTGTGGGCACAGTCATTGAGGCGACTGCAGAAGATTTTTTTGTTGCTGTATCCATGTGAGCTTGAGAGAGTCTGGCAACTATTTCGTCCCCCAAAACCCTCAGGAATTGAGTCAAACAGCCCCTGCAAATCCTGTGCAGAGACAGGAAAGGAGGGTGCGGTGGCGTCCTATTGTCCACATTGGTAGAAATGCTAAGGGGTGTGCTCGGTTGGGCTGATGAAGGCGGAGTGACTCACAAGTTTCCTGTAGGCGGAGAGAGTCCCTGGTTTGTGCTTTTTATTGAACCGTGAGGAATGGGACTTTTGGCCGGCGTTAGGACCTGTTATCCACCCTGCCTTTCTAACCCTTTGATGCCTACAGATTACTCCTGGCCAGAACTCCTTTTTGAAAGTGCCCGTGAAATCAGTAGCTAGCTGTGTTTCGCTGTACTGAGAAAATGAGGTTAGAGGAGGAAGATACTAACTTCTCTTCTAAGGAGGTGGAGGAGATGTGAATGCCCTCAGTGGTTTGTCAGCAAGCAGGAACTAGCTCGCCAGATAATCGTTTAAATCACTGGTTCTCAACTTTGGGATATTTTTGTCCCCTAGGGGACTTTTGGCAATATCTGGAGACGTTTTTGGTTGTCACAACTGGAGTTGGGAGGGTACTACTGGCATCCAGTGGGTGGAGGCCAGGGGTGCTGCTTAGCATCCCGCAATGCACACGCTTACCCCCACAGCAAAGCCTGATCCAGCCCCAAGTGTCAGCAGCGTCACAGTTGAGAAACTCGTATTTAAATAGTAGTAGAAAAATATTTACTAACATTTCTTTTTGGTTGATTCCAAGCACCATGATGATGGGCTCCACTGGTCCTAGGATTTTTTACCCCTTTGGGGGCATGTATCTGAGCTCTGATGGTGCAGGGTGCTGTTGATACTGCTCTGCTTTGTGCAGATGATCACACCCCAAGCTGTTCGGTCTTGTGACAGCTCAGCTTTCCGTGACTGTCCATTCAGCAAAGTTGTGAAATGCTTGGGGTTTATGGCGAGTGGCCCCATGTCGCTCACTTGCTTTCTGTTGAGTGAAGAAGAGAGTGACAGTGTCATTTGAATGATCCTGCGTGCAGGAGCCAGAGGAGAGCAGCAGCCAGGGTGAAAGAGGAAGGATGGGAAGAGTAGGGGTTTGGGGCTGGTTTAATTTCTCTTGGTTGTCAGTTGGTCTTGAAGGGAAAAGCTTAGTATTTGGGGCTCTAAACTGCACGCTAGTTTTGGAATTTCACAACTAAGATGGTATGAGTAGTTCTTGTTTATGTCACTTTTAACCCCAGTTGTCTTGCTCTTTACTTTACTCTCCATTGCAAAGTCCTGTCATAATTGCCATTTTCTGAACTGTGGCATAATTTAAAATTCTAATATCTAGGGTTTTTTTTTAAGAATAAAATAAGACTGAAAGCTGCATTTCTTTACTAAAGAAAACTAGCCAGTGTACTCTGAGTATTGAAGAAGGGACAGTGTACTTGGCATTTCCCTGGCTTTGTGACAGTGGAACCCCTCCTCTGTGAAACAGCTGAACTGGCCAGTGTTCCGTGGAACGTACTTTGGGAATACACCATTCTAGGGGGACGTGAGATCAGTGTGTGCCTTGTAGTGTTTGCGGTGGGTTTGACCTGAGCGTCGGTCTTCTTGTGAGAGGGATCCTGGAGAGAGAGGAGTGCTCCAGCGCCTCCTAAGTTCATCTGTTTCTGTAGGACTCTCTTCCTAGCTCAGGACCATCCTGTCTGCCAGGGGCCACAGTGACCCATCTCCCCATCTGCCTGACTCACTGTAACTCAGCTGCTGAGTGGTGCTTCTGCCCCAAATTAGGGCCTTCGCTGCCTTGTTCTCAGAACTGGGCACAGATGAGCTCTTCTGTTTGCTCAGCCTTGCTAGCAGACCAATCGATATCTTCAGCCACTGAACCATTCTGTATACTTTTCCTAAACGTTTGGCTGTCACTCATGCCTCTTCATTTTTGTTTTTTCTGAAAATATGATACCATGCATCATTTGCTACAAGTATTTCATGAGACAAAAGGTTCAGAGTCATTTTGAGGAGAACAAAATTCATTTTTAAATATGAAAAAGTAGTAGATATTTTTCTCTTTTATTTATTTATTTTTTTTTGGTGAAGAAGATTGGCCCTGAGCTAACATCTGTTGCCAGTCTTCCTCTTTTTGTTTGAGGAAGATTGTCCCTGAGCTAACATCTGTGCTAGTCTTCCTCTATTTTGTATGTGGGATGCTGCCACAGCATGGCATCATGAGCAGCATGCAGATCTGTGCCCAGGATCTGAACCTGTGAACCCCTATCTGCTGAAACAGAGCTTGTGAACTTAACCACTATGCCACCGGGCCAGCTCCAGTAGATATTTTTTGTATTAAATGTTTTCATATACACGGAACTGATTATTTTATTACTATAATAAAAGGGAAAGAGTGGCATTCATCTGAGTTTTTTCGAGTGCCTGCTGTGTGTCAGATGCTCATCTGGGCACTGAGGACACAGCAGGAAACAGCAGACCTAGTAGTAGTGGGAGGCGGTGTGGCCTGAGCACCTGTTCTCTATCTCGTGCTGAGTTTTTACACGAGGCTCTCACGTCGTTCTCACAACACGTCCACCTCTTTTCCCCATCCCATAGCTGAAAGGAACATGCTCGGGGTTACGCTTGTGCTAGGGACCACAGCCGGGAAGCAGATGTAGGATTTAGACACCAGAGGGCTGACCCCAGAAACCTGGGTAGACCACTGCACCACACTGAACCAGTCCTTCTGTAACTTTCTTCTGTCTTTGCAAGTAGGAAGCATGTGAGGAGTGGAATTCTTTCAGACTGTAGGTTAGATCACCCCCTAGGTGAAATTCCTTCCTGGGCATTTGCCTCTGCTGCTTTGCTGGCAGATATCATCACCCGGCCTGCAAGCTTCATTTTCGCCTTTGACAGGGAAGGTGCCCTCGTCAGCTGTAGGTTCACCACCGAGCAGAGATGGGCCTGGCCTGGGTCAGTCTGAGTGCAGACATAAGCCTGGACCCGCTGATGGTGCCGCTCCTCTTAAAGGACATGTGCGAAGTTGCTGACGTGACATAGGAGACCTAGATAAAGATAAGAGACAAATAAATGTCAGGCATCAGCAGGAAAGCTTCCCGGAGTGGGAGTCAGCTTATGGGGGTGCTGTGGGCAGAGTGACAGGAAACACCGTTCCGGGCTTTATGGAATTTGCAGTAGAGTGGGAAGCCCCGGCAAATTTTGTCCCCAGTGTTTCTGAAGTCAAATGTCACATGGCACGTTTTTGGCTGTGCTCGGGTATCTTTATCATTATTCAGGTCTCCACTCAGTCACATCAACCTCTATTTTTTTGACACATTAATGACTCCTTATGCTGTGATATAAAATGACTGGTCTCCTCATCCCCTTTTTGGCGGTGGAACTGCCTCCTGCAAGTACTGCGGCATCCGTGGTGAGGCCAGAGGTGAGATGGACATCTGTGCGCCAGTGACACACCAGTCAGATGCTTCCTGTTGGCCAAGAAGATGTGCCTCTCAGTGACATGTTTGTTTTAGCAAATTCAGTTTCAGTGACAGCTGACAGGTGGACAAACACAGAAGGGCAAGAGATGGCAGCAGCTCGAAGTGATGAGGAAGGTGGTGTTTCCACAGCCAGGGGAGAATGAGCTGTGGCTGTCCGTGAAGTGTTGATGGAACATTGAACAGCGAGCCGTGGATGTGCGGAATGCACCCTTGAAGTCTGTAATCTCTTGTCCACAGAACAGACGCTCTGCTCCTGAGGCTGTCCTTGGTGGTTGGCAAAGAGGTGTTTTACTCTGCCCTTTGGGGGAGCGTCCTGGTGAGCCCGTCCATCCGCCTTCCTGCCTCGCTTTTTGTGGTGGGCCACATCAGCAGGGACTCGCCCGGCAGGGAGCAGAAGTACATGCTGGGCACGGATTACCAGCTCACGGTGGGTGCCTTGCTCTTCACAGGAGGCAGGGGGGCATGCATGTGTGGCTTCCTCTCGCACAGGTTGTCCCTGGGGCTGCAAAGAGCCCTCAGGGAGCAGTGGAAAAGGGAGGCATTCCAGAGTCAGAGTGTATGTCCCCTGCTGCTGAGCACAAGGAGAGGCGTCACTGCACACGGTGAAACCCAGGGTAGTGGTGTTTGTTTTTAACATATGCTTCACGATTTATATATGCAAATAAGTGTTGTTCACACCCAAGAAGGGCCCTTCTGGAGGCTCCGCAAAGCTTCAGCAGTACGGTTAGCTGCAAACGGCCCTCCAGAGGGCCTCGCACAGTCTGCTGCTTCAGCTACAGCCTTGTTTTCTCCCCCTGCCCTGTGTCGCGCTGACCACTGCCCACACGTGACGCTCGCTCCTCCTCGGGCTGCTGTCTTGGTCCAGCTCTTCTCCTGCTGTCATCTTCTCCTCTGGCTGCTCTCAAACCTAGATTGTCGGGGTTCCCCAGGTGTCCATCCTCAGATCCTTCAAGGGCAGCTCTCTTCCCTGGCAATGACATCCTTTCTCATGACCTTGAAAAATGAGAATTTTCCAGACCTGTGTCTCTTCTCCCCAAGCTTAACTCTTGCTGTTTAATGGCCTGCTGTCTATCGCCACCTAGTGGTGTACCCATGCTTTGACGTTAAAATGTTCAAAATTGAATTCCTCAGTGAGAACGTCAGCAACTTGGTGTGAATTAGTTAACCCTCTGAGTTTGTCTCTTTGCAAAGTGGGGACAACAGACCTTCCTCACAGGGGTCTCTGAGGACTATGTGAAAACACTGATGAAAACACCTTGCACATATTCAGGACATAGGAGACCCGCATAAATAGGTCCCTTCTTTCCTGCCCTGTCAGTACCACTTTCGTCTCCTTCTCTCCATTTTTACTGCCCAGCTTGCGCTTTTTTTGTCTTGCTCCTGGACTGTAACATAATTTTCCAACTGGTTTCTTCCCATCCCATCCTCTACCCACCCAGTCCTCTTCGATTACTAAGAGATTTGCTTTTCCAAAGCACAGCTTGGCTCATATCTGTTCTATGCTTGAAAAATACCTGGTTTCCTGTTGCCTACAGATAAAGTCCAAACCCAAGAGTATTCTAACAGTCTGTTCCCAACCCAACAAATACCTTGCTCTCCCCTTCAGGCCCGCTACGCTCCCAGAACTGACTGCCCCGCCTGGCCTTGTTCTTCTGTGGAGCTGCCTCTTTGCTCCAGCTGTTCCCTCCTCCTCTTGCACTTACTGCCCGTCCCTTCTCTACAGGTCTCGGCGTAGATCCTTCCTATCCTTCAAGCTCAGCTCTCTCACAAAGCTTCGTCGTTTTCCCCAGTTGAAAGATCTCTCCCTCTCCTCTTCTGAATTCTCATAGCGTTTTATTAGCATTTGTCTTATAGCTCTTATCTATTATGCATCTGTATTATACCTTCTGTACTCAGAGAAGTTTCTCGAAATATGTATTGAAGTGGTCTGGAATCCACTTGATTAAATGTCTTTGGAGTTTTAGGTTAGCTGAAAGTCCTTATTGGAACCTAAAGACATGCCTTTCTGGGATCATAGAATTTGATCATGTGGTCCAGACCCCTCCAGCTCTCACATGGGACAAGTGACGGCTGCAGCTGACCACCTTCCCCATCACACAGCCCCCAGGGTCTGGAGCAAGAACCCAAGTTTCCCACACTTATACCTTATTGTTCGTTCCGCATGATTTAAGATGGTGGTTTCAAGATTCCCAGGAAAGGTTACCTTCATTTTTATGACCATAAAGAGAAGCCTGCAGCTGATGTTCATTGTCTTAGGGATGGAGTGTTCATGCCGTTTTATCATTTACAGGTAAAGTCTTTGTGCGCGTCACTGTTGGACTCAAATGTTCTGGTGCAAAGAAATAATCTGGAAATTGTTCTCTTCTTCTTCCCATTTTATACCTGTCTGGTAAGTTGATCGTGTTCCTCTGGGGAAGTCACTGGTATTTCCCAAGGATGTGGGGTAGGCGCGATAGATCTCAGGCATTTTATCTTGAAAGGAGACCACCCACTTGGTGATCACCATTTTCTTTCAGCCAATTAAGGGTCCTTGTTCATTTTTGTGAGGATGGTGTGTATGTGGCAAAAATTGAATAGCTTCTTTTCATGGGCGGCATCTGAAGCACCAACCCCTTTTGAGAGCAGCCTTTTTAAGATAAAGCTCTGTAGACTGGTAAGGAAGGGCCGCGTGTCAGAAAGCCAATAATTTACTTAATCATCTTCTTTCAGTAAAATTTTCTCTCTCCCCGTCCTAGGACTCCAGTGAGAGAGCCATCCCCTTGCCCAGATCCGACATCGTGCACATCCTGTCTGCTGCCACCCAGACTCTGCTGAGAAGAGATATGTCTCTGAACAGGAGGCTGTATGCGTGGTTACTAGGTACCGAGTAGTTCACAGCAACAGAAAGTCAAAGTTAACATGAAACCTTTTAGTGCTGATTTTTGGGATAAGTTTCGATCTTGGTGATACGTTTCTGAATCCTGAAGTGTGGAAAGATAGCACACCGACTGAATATGGCAGTGAATTCTACTGCCCACACTGCAGATTTGGTTATTTTGCAGCTATTACATTAAAAAACGGGAAATAATAAATGAGATTTAAAAAATGCTAACTGAATTCCATTCTAAGAAGCTTAAAATCCTATAAAAAATTTAGCTAAACGTTATTCAGGTGGAACACTATTGCTGTGGAGTCTCATGGGGTGAGGGCATGAAGGAAAAACCCACCAACATGGAATCTGGGTAGAAAGTTTTCTGTGGATGGGACTATTGGTGGCATTGACGTGCTTTGCCAGGTACTTGGGTAAGTTTGGGAGAGCATGAGAACCCCAGGCTTGTGTTTCTACGAGTGTGTGTTTTTGTGGACAGCCTGTAAACTTGTAGGTAAAGAGCCCTTGACTACTGTTGGAAGGCTTCACAGGTTCACAGTCCAGGGAATCGCAAGGCTTAAAGGACAGCACCTCCTGAATTTTATCAATTGCCATATTCATGTACCTAAGGAAAGATGATACACAAAGCAATTGGGAAAGGACTCCACAGCATTTTCTTTTCTTTTCTTTCTTTCTTTCTTTTTCTTTTTTTTTTTTTTTTTTTTTGGTGAAGACGACTAGCTCTGAGCTAATATCTACTGTCAATCTTCCACTTTTGTTTTCTCCCCAAAGCCCCAGTATCTAGTTGTATGTCCTAGGTGTAAGTCATTCTAGTTCTTCTATGTGGGATGCCACCACGACATGGCTTGATGAGCAGTGTGTAGGTCCATGCCCAGGATCCAAACCAGTGAACCCATGGCCGCTGAAGTGGAGTGCATGAACTTAAGTACTCAGCCACAGGGCCGGCCCCCAACCCAGCATTTTTTTAGAGCAGTCTTAGGTTCACAGCAAAGGCACAAAGAGTTCCCATCTACCCCCTCTTCTCCCACACGCACAGCCTTTCCCATCGTCTGCATCCTTCACTGGAATGGCACATTGGTCACAGTTGATGAACCTCCACAGATGCGTCATCATCACCCGCAGTCCAGTTTACATTACCCTTCACTCTTCGTGTTGTACATTCTGTGGGTTTGGACAAAAGCATGATGACATGTGTCCACCATTATAGTATCATGGAGTGTTTTCAGTGTCCTAAAAATCCTCTGCTTCATGGCTTTTTTTAACCCTCAGCATATAGATCTTCCACACCAAAGTCAGAAAGTCCTCTTAGCCTTTTCTTTTCCCCCCTCTCCCTCATTATAAAACTTTCAAAAGTCATTGCATGGGAACTTATGAAGGATTTCAAGAATATTTACAGGATCCTTAAGCATTTTTATCAAAAGGATGATTTTGTTAAATGCACAGCTACCTCCTTTGTGGCTTGACTTGCTGTGTACAGAGAGGACCAAGTTCACTACCAGCTCCAACTCACTTAGCTACAACCCCAGGAGTCCAGACTATCTACCTGTGCTGTCAGGATGCTGTTTCTTGCCCTGAGGACCTCACAGACTTATCCAGGGCTCAAAATGAGGGCCTAGAGATGAGAATACCTTGATTTCACATAGTGGCAAACAAATAAACACTGGTTTCTAAAAATGATCCTCATTCCTGGGGGCCAGCCCCGTGGCTGACTGGTTAAGTTCGCATGCTCCGCTTTGTTGCCCCAGGGTTTCGCTGGTTCCGATCCTGGGTGCGGACATGGCACCGCTCATCAGGCCACGCTGAGGTCGCATCCCACAAAGCACAACCACAAACACCTACAACTAGAATATGCAACTATATTCTGGGGGGGCCTTTGGGGAGAAGAAAGAGAAGGAAAAAGAGAAGACTGGCACTAGATGTTAGCTCAGGTGCCAGTCTTTAGAAATAATAAAATAAGAACAGCAACAACAAAATGATCCTCATTCCCTTAGATCCTTGTAATCATACTTGACAATTAGGGTGAATTCTTGGGACAAGCTAAACTGATGCCCGTTGAGATGGAATTCTGCCTGTCTGATCCGTAGCACACCACGTCCGAAGAGAAAATGTGGCTTGGTCTTGCTGGATCTGATTTTGGGTTTCTGTTGGAGGAATCCTATTTTGACAAATATCGGAGCATGCGACCTTTGCACGGTATGATGTACTTTAAAAGTATAGCTCTCTTTACAGCTCATGGTGCTTGTTCTTTTATAGGTTCAGATATTAAAGGAAATACTGTTGTGCCAGAATCTGAAATCTCAAATTCTTACGAAGACCCGTCCTTGTATTTTTTTGAAAAATACTCCAAGGATCTTTTGGTTGAGGTAAAGGAGCGTTTCTGGGCAGCAGACCCCACAGAGCATTCCTGACCACGGTTCTTAGTGGATTTCTGTGCAGGACCTCAGAGTCGACCTTGGGCTTATTCCCCGGTACATGGTTGGGAGAATTCCAGCATGCTTGTTTCATGCTGTGAGACTGGTTCTCTTTCTGCCCCAGAGTATTTAACCATTAGAACAACCAATGACGTCATAGTTTACTATGTACAATATTCTAATATGTGGCTTTAAAAAAAAATAGGGTCTGGCTGAGATACTGCACCAGAAGTTCTCCGATGGGGACGCAGACGACCGCCATCACGCCTACCTGAAGCCATTCCGCATCCTCGTCAGTCTGCTTGACAAGCCGGAAATAGGTAACTTTAGAAATGCCATTACACATCATATGCCAAATACAGATTCTCTGATTTGAGGCAATTAAAACATGGTGAGATACAGTCAGCGCATTATTTTGAATATAATTTAATCTTTGGAATTTCAGAATCTTGAAGTACTTTGGTCGATGTATTATGTGGTTTAGTTATCATATCCAGGCACCACTTAAAAGTCTTACATGATAAATTTGAATGTTTTTGTTAGGAAAATACCTTTGAGCTTCTATTGGGCATGTCTGCGTATGTGCCTGCAGCATACACACAGGGCTGACTTTGTAAGAACGTTTCTTCAATCAAATGTCACACTTCAAACAAGCTTTGATTTTATTTTTAAGTAAATAGGAGACCCTCCTCCGTCTTTTTGCCTTGTGACCCCAGGCAAGCCACTTCTGCCATTTGGGCCGCAGTCGTTGCCTCTCTCAAGTGAAAGGGGCTGAACTAGACTCTGATCCCTGGAGGGTTCCCCTTACACACTGTGGATCTCTGAGCATCATTTGAGAAAAGTAACCTTCTCTCCCTTGCTTTAAAACAAAAGAATTTGCTCCAACATCCATCGACCGTACAATCTTCACATCTAATCACTTGAACACCATAATGGGGAAGAAAGTCCCACCTTCTCCGTGGAATTTCAACCTTGATGACATCATCTGAGTGCCCAGATGTGCCCACCGCCTGGTTGCTGTTGGCGGAGAGCAAGAGCCAAGGGCTTTAGTGAAGTTCTGTGTCCCTCTGGCCTCAGGATGGAGACCCTCCGTCTGTTCATTCAGAGACAGGCGTGGAACATGCGGGGCATGGATGGTGCTAGGCTCTGGGGGTAGAAAGGAAAAAGAAGGGCTTCTGGTCAAGTTAGATGGAAGGGAGACTGAGGTGCTGGTGCATTTTCACTGTTGTTAATAATAAGGGATGACATCTTTTGAGCAGTTATTTTGTGCAAAGTGATTTGCATACATTTTGGGTTTTGATTTTTTTTTATTGAGTGCATAAAAATTTACACCATTTTGAGATTTCAGTTGTACATTATTTCTTGACACCACATAAGTGTTCCCCTTCACCCCCTGTGCCCACCCCCCCCACCTCCTTCCCCCAGTAACCACTGAACTGTTTTCTTTGTCCATGTGTTTGTTTATATTCCACATATGAGTGAAATCCTATGGTGTTTGTCTTTCTCAGTCTGCCGTATTTCACTTAGCATAGTACCCTCCAGGTCCATCCATGTTGTTGCAAATGGGATGAATTTGTGTTTTTTGTGGCTGAGTAGTATTCCATTGTATATATATACCACATCCTCTTTATCCAATCATCAGTCGATGAGCACTTTGGTTGCTTCCACATCTTGGCTATTGTGAATAGTGCTGCAGTGAACATAGGGGTGCATAAGTCTCTTTGAATTGTTGATTTCAAGTTCTTTGGGTAGATCCCCAGTAGTGGGATAGCTGGGTCATATGGTAGTTCTGTTTTTAGTTTTTGGAGGAATCCCCATGCTGTTTTCCATAGTGGTTGCACCAGTTTGCATTCCCACCAGCAGCGTGTGAGGGTTCCCTTTTCTCCACACCCTCTCCAATATTTGTTATTTTTAGTTTTAGTGATTATAGCCATTTTAACAGGTATAAGGTGGTATTTTAGTGTAGTTTAGATTTGCATTTCCCTGATAATTATTGATGTTGAACATCTTTTCACATGCTTATTGGCCATCTGTATATCTTCTTTGGAAAAATGTTCACATCGTCTGCCCATTTTTTGATCAGTCTGTTTGTTTTTTTGTTGTTCAGTTGTGTGAGTTCCTTATATATTATGGAGATTAACCCCTTGTCAGATACATGATTTGCAAATATTTTGTCCCAATTGGTGGGTTGTCTTTTTGTTTTGATCCTAGTTTCTCTTGCATTACAAAAGCTCTTTAGTCTGATGAAGTCCCACTTGTTTATTTTTTCTTTTGTTTCCCTCATCTGAGAAGACATGGTATTCGAAAAGACTCTTTTAAGTTCAGCGTCAAAGTGTGTACTATGTATATTATCTTCCAGGAGTTTTATGGTTTCAGGACTTATCTTCAAGTCTTTGATCCATTTTTTTAGTTTATTTTTTTGCATAGTGTGAGCTAATGATCTGCTTTCGTTCTCTTGCAAGTGGCTGTCCAGATTTCCCAGCACCATTTATTGAAGAGACTCTTTTTTCCTCCATTGTATGTTCTTGGCACTTTTGTCAAAGATTAGCTGCCCATAGGTGTATGGTTTTATTTCCAGGCTTTCAGTTCTGTTCCATTGATCTGTGTACCTGTTTTTGTACTAGTACCATGCTGTTTTGATCACTATGGCTTTGTAGTACATTTTGAAGTCAGAAATTGTGATGCCTCCAGCTTTGTTCTTTTTTCTCAAGATTGCTTTGCAATTCAGAGTCTTTGCTTGCCCCATGTGAATTCTAGGATTCTTTGTTCTAACTCCATGAAGGATGTCATTGGGATTCTGATTGGGATTGCGTTGAATCTGTAAATTGCTTTGGGCAGTATGGAATTTTAACTATGTTTATTCTTCCAATCCATGTGCGTGGAATTTCTTTCCATCTCTTTATGTCATCATCTTTTTCTTTCAATAATGTCTTATAGTTTTCATTGTGTGAGTCCTTCATCTCCTTGGTTAAATTTATTCCCAGATATTTTATTCTTTTTGTTGTGATTGTAAATGGAATTGTATTCTTGAGTTCTCTTTCTATAAGTTTATTATTAAAGTATAGAAATGCAACTGATTTTGTAAAAAAATTTGTGAAATCAACAAAAAAAGTTGCACCGTGCAACTTTACTGTGGTTATTAATTATTTCTAATAGCTTTTTGATGCATTCTTTAGGGTTTCTATATATAAGATCATGTCATCTGCAAACAGCGAGAGTTTCACTTCTTCACTCCCTATTTGGATTCCTTTTATTCCTTTCTCTTGCCTAATTGCTCTGGCCAAAACCTCCAGTACTATGTTGAATAAGAGTGGTGGTAGTGGGCATCCTTGTCTTGTTCCTGTTCTCAGAGGGATGGCATTCAGTTTTTCTACATTGAGTATGATGTTGGCTGTGGGTTTGTCATATATGACCTTTATTATGTTGAGGTAATTTCCTTCTACTCTCATTTTGTTAAGAGTTTTTATCACAAATGGCTGTTGGATCTTGTCAAATGCTTTCTCTGTTGTATCTTGTCCCATGATCACTGGTTTTTATTCCTCACTTTGTTGATGTGGTGTATCACATTGATTGATCTGCAGATGTTGAACCATCCCTGTGTCCCTGGTATAAATCCCACTTGATCATGATGTATGATCTTCTTTGATGTATTTCTGTATTCGGTTTGCCAAAATTTTGTTGAGGAGTTTTGCATCTATGTTCCTCAGCAATATTGGCCTGTAGTTTTCCTTTTTTGTGTTGTCCTTGTCAGGCTTTGGTATCAGAGTGATGTTTACCTTGTATAATGTGTTAGGAAGAGTTCTATCTTCCTAGACTTTTTGGAATAGCTTGAGAAGGGTAGGTATTAAATCCTCTCTGAAAATTTGGTAGGATTCCCCAGGGAAGCCATCTGGTCATGGCTTTTATTCTTTGGGATGCTTTTGATTACTGTTTCAATCTCTTGTGATTGTTCTATTCAGATTCTCTATTTCTTCTTGATTCATCTTTGGGAGTTTGTAAGAGGCTAAGAACTTATCCATTTCCTCTAGATTGTCCATTTTGTTGGCATGTAGCTTTTCGTAGTATTCTCTTATAATTCTTTGTATTTCTGTGGTATCCGTTGTTATCTCTCCTCTTTCATTTCTAATTTTATTTATGTGAGCTGTCTCTCTTTTTTTCTTTGTAAGTCTGGCTAGAGGTTTGTCAATTTTGTTTATCTTCTCACAGAACTAGCTCTTTGTTTCATTCATCCTTTCTACTGCCTTTTTTGTTTCAATGGCATTTATTTCTTCTCTGATTTTTATTATTTCTCTCCTTCTGCTGACTTTGGGCTTTGTTCTTCTTTTTCTAATTCAGCTAGGTGTGATTTGTGCATAGATTATTTAATGTGCGTTTCCCTACGGGCCACGCTTCCGACAACCCTGAGGAGGGTTTTCTTAGTATACCCATTTTGCAGATGGAGAGACTGCGGTTGAGCAAGAGTAAGTCATTTGCCCGAGGCCACCCTGTTGTTGAGACCGAAACTCGGTCTTTTTGACCCCAGACCCTCAGCTCTCTTCGTCAGGGCATTGCTGCTTCTCTCATTGCACTCAGACATACCGTACCAAGACGCTCACTCATTAACGCAGGTGAACTTCGACTTCGTGGCGTGGGCAGCTCTAGCTGTTCTCAGCCAAAGTCAGCGCATGAAGCCTTTGTCCCTCCAAGCTTGCCCTTCAGGTGCTGCCTAAGGTACCTGTGCGTCGTGCAGACCTCCCCTCTCTCCACTCCCTTCCACTCTGTCTCACTCAACCGGCGATGGCTCTAGAACATTCTCCTCTTAGTGTGGAAAAGTCTGAAAAGTCATGATTTCGTCTGAAAAAATGAAGTGAGTTGTATAAACGTATTGGGAGCCTGCTGTGTAACTTGGGGAACTATTTACAGAAGCAGGTGTAACCCAGCATTTGGAGACGGGTGTTTTATATCAAGGCCGTGCACTTGGTGAGCCAGGCAGAAGGTTACTGCTCGCTTGGGCTCACGGTCAGAGTTTCTGGAACGACATGAGTGGCAGGCTTTTGCTCAATCTCAGAGTCGTTTCATTTGCTGTCTGGTAATCGTCTGAGGGACGATATACTTCAAGGGCAAGGGAGCGGATGATACCGAACTAGAAGGTGGAGGACAGGCATCCGGTCTTGTCTCTTCTTTGGCCACAAGGCTTCAGCCGCTGCCCCATTTTCTGCTCCATGAATTGTGGCAACAAACTTGCAATCATCTACAAAAAGCATTCGGTGTTCTTATGCTGTAGATAAGGTACACGTGGGGCTTATCGTGAAGAAAGTTCTCTCAGAAGCGCATCTTTTGTTTTTGTGAAAAAGAAGCATAAAAGATAAGGTTAATCTGCTGATTGTGCTTTACACAGATGCGTTGGCAGAGCTCTCATTTTCTCTGAATTGATGCTGTTTTCATCCCTCTGTATACATGGCCGAGAGTTGCTCCCTTCGCTGCCTGGTGGCCTCTGTTTGTGGAGCAGAAATGTCCAGCTGCCTTCCACCTGCCTGATTGGCAGTGATGCTTCTCTAATGTGCAGAGCTGGTCCACTTCTTCTCTGCCATCTTAACAAACTCTTTCGGATTGGTGTTATTTCTTCTGTGGTGTTCTAGCTCATGAGTAAGAGAGTTCAGAGTAGGCAAGTTGCCCTCCTCTGTCCGTATTTGTATTGAGGACTCTCTCTGGCCAAGCAGTTTGTGTACTTAAAACATGGAGCATTTGCCCTGCCTCCACCCCGCAGAATCTGGCTTGGGCAAGTAACTTAACCTCTGCCTCAGTCAGCTTATGTGTAATCAAGACAGTAGTGTAGAACCCGGTCATGGGGCTGTTGTCAGGATTAGTAAGATAATAGATATAAAATGCCTAGAAGAGTACCCAGCACATGGTAAGCTCTACAGAAATACTGTTTATTTTTGTGGATGCTGTTTGTCCGGCTAAAGTTTGTTGTTGCAACTAAACTTGTGTCTGTACATTTTAGACTATAAATCGTCTGTGTGTACAGAGTTACTCTCTTTGTGTTTTGTGTCTGTGTCATTTATTGATTTAAAAATGGATTACTGATCTTTCTCTGGCCATTTTCCTTCCAGGGCCTCCGGTGGTTGGGAATTTGTTTCTGGAAGTCATCCGTGCGTTTTATTCTTACTGCAGAGATGCTCTCGGCTCCAACCTTAAACTTAGCTACACGCAGAGTGGAAATTCACTGATAAGGTATGGGTTTGGCCTCCAGCTTCACGCTTCGTCCTCCATCCCTCCCGAAAACCATGATTTTTTTTTTCTCTGTTGTTCACCATAAATTGTGAAGTGCTGGAGAAAGTGGAGATGCAGCAGATCAGACCACCCGTTAAGATAACTATGCTCCAAAGTCAATCATCATGAATTGTCTCTTCCCTATTAAATAAGGTGAAGAGTTTAAAAGGAGTGTGATCTAGTCTCTGCCCCAGCCTGGGATGCACAAACCGTATTTATTGATCAAGTAGGAAAGTTGTTGAACAAAGGCAGTTGGATCTAGTGTACGCACGTGGTGATTTACAGGGAGGGGGCAGGTGGGAGGGGTTAATGTCAGGAAGTAGAGCCAGGAGATAGGAGTCTTCACGTGAGGTCACGTGCCCCAGGACCCTGAAGGCAGAGTGAGTGGCGTTCAGGATACGGCAGACACGTCAACTTAAAGTATGGAGTTATTGTGGGTTTGTTGTTTCTGTTCTTATTAAGATAGTACAACCTCGTCCTTCTTACCTTCCTCTTACCTTTCCTTCTGCCTGAGTTGGCATCAGATATATTGAAAATTTAAGTCAATTCCAAGATTTTTCTGGTTTACTAATTATAAGTGTACCGAGTTCTTGGTGTTTGCTTTTTTCTCCCAGAATGAGAGTAGTTTATTGTTTTTCTAAGTACAAAAGCAATTTATGTTCATTGTAGAATATGCCAGTATTTGAAGGTACTAAAGAAGAAAATAGCACCCAGAATCCCACCACCTTTCAGAGAAAAGCATAAAACATTTTCATTTCTTTCCAGACTTTCAGTGCATATATAAATATGTAGATGCCTGTCTTTTATTTTAAAGATGGAATTACACTATTTAGTTGCCTGTTTTTTTAAGATGCAAATTGTGAGTTTCTCTGCTTGGTTCTCCTGTGGAATATGGTGGTTGCCTTAGGTTCCTTGGGAGGGATTTATCACTTGTTTAATAAATCCTGGCTGATTTACCAATCCCATTGATTGACTTTTAGGTGGTTTCCACTTTTTCAGTATTTTTAAACAACCTTGCAATGGTATCCTTATGCATACATCTTTGTGTGCCTGTGCAAGGATTTCTGTAGGATAAATCCCTAAAATAAATTTCCTGAGTCATAGAAGATGCACCTTTAAATTTTAGCCAAATTTCCCTCCTGAATGGTTGTACCATATTATTCCACCAATAGAATATCTATCTACAGTTGGACTAAAATTGGATTTCTATGTCACGTTCCTTTTCAGTAGCTCGTAAGCTCACTTCTAAGAGAATGTATCAATAAATACTGTTTAGGATGGCGTTATGCATACTCTTTCCTCTATAGGAACAGTAATATTTTTATCTTTATCCAAGTTTGTCAGTCTCTCTAGAAATAAGCTGTAAATGGTAAAATGAATTACAATTTTTCAGACATAGTGTTCTCATAATACAGGGTCTTTCAGAGATATATTTATAAACGTCTACCTTCCTTTTCAGTACAATAAAAGAAAATAGAAATGCTTCTGAGATTGTTAAAACGGTGAATTTGCTGATCACTTCCCTAAGCACAGACTTTCTCTGGGATTACATGATGAGGTGTTTTGAGGATTGCTTTAGGTAAGTATCCAGTTCAGGATTATGGAATATTTAGGAAGGATTACAGGGTTTCATGGTTTCTTAGCTGCTTATTGTGTCAGATTATATATAACCGGCTGACGTTGGGTGGTCTCTGCTGAGCAGATGACTGGAAGGAGTTCACTTAAAATTTTAATAGATTAAAAAGCATTGCCATTAAGAAGGTTCTCAGCATCTTTGCCACATAACTGTGAAGCTGCTTTATTAATTCTAGCTTAAGAAAATCCTCTGTGCATTTTCTGGTCACATCAATCAAATCCGCTTTCTTCCAACAGTTCTTTTGGGGGCCTGATCTATTTAAAGAAGCTGAGTTTTGTGGCTCTGTGGCTGCATAGAGTGTTTTGAAATCATCAACCTTCTTAGATTCCTATTGAAATGAGTGTATAACTGGGCAGATAAAGCATCCATTAATGTTTTAAGCTCCCGTACCCAGCTTGACCGTCACGCTGATCTCGTGAACTGCACCACCTCACAGTTGTGGGCAGGGACGCACCAGGGATAACCTGCTTTCCTGAGGAGCCCCCTTCCCAGTGTCATTTTCCGTGTAAAGGAGGAATAATGTAATCTCTCAAACCTCGTTTTGCCCTGTGAGTCACTCTGTAAAACTTCATTCTTGTCCGTCTCCTTTGGAACGCTCTGTGCTGTCAACACCGTCATCGTGTACCTAGCAGCTGTAATAGAAGCTTTACTTATTAATGTTTGCTATGGGCCGTCCTCCTGCCTGAAAGCCTTACAGACATGCTCATTAACTCTTCAGGACACCCCCAAGAGAAGGAAACACTTCTATCATATAAGAAATGGGAGGCCAGAGACACATAGTACCTTGTGTGGCACTGCACAGCAAATTGGCAGCAGCCAAGGTTAGGACCCAGGAATGCCTGACTTCCCAGCTGCGCCTGCCTGCTTTTCTGCCTCCTCTAGAGCCAGGCCCCAGCAGGTGTCAAACCTGTGATGAGTAAATTAATTGTAACTGGATCCATGGGCAACAGCAAGGCCATGTTAGACGGAGGCTAGGCTATATTTTGGTCAGCTTAGTTTCATTTCAGAGTTATGGGGTATGCTTTCTTTAAAAAAAATTAACCACAAAACATTTCAAATATGAGAAAGAACAGGAAATGATGTCAGATACACATGTACCCATTGCTGAAATTACGGACAACACTTGGCCATTGTTTTTCACATCTCTTTTTTAAAGGAATAGAATGTTGCCACCCAGCTAGAGCTGACTCCCCACCTCCCCGGCACTTTTTCCGTCCTTCATCCTAACATTATCACCGTCCTGAAGTTAGTGTCTGTCCTGCCCGTGATGTCTGTGCTTTTATGTCAAGTGTGTCTCCAGAAATGGTAGTCTGTGTTCAGGTTTACATCAGTATCAAGTGGTATATAACTTTTTGCAGCGTGCTGTGTTAGGGGTTCAGCAGTACTTTGGAGGTTTGTCTGTATTGGAACGTATGCATCTAGTTCATTTGTCCTAGGTGTAATAGTCCATTGTGTGAATAAACCAGTCGCAGTTCTTGCGTTGTTGTGAATAGTGCTCTGGTGACCATCTTTTCCTGTCTCTTTATATACACTTGCACAGGTTTCTTCAGAGTAGTCACCTAAAAGTTAGAATCACTGGGATGTTGTCTGTGCAGCTCTTCAAAGTCATTCTCTTGCTAAGATAAACTGCAGGATAACGAAGTGATAATTTATAATGAAAAATGTTAGCTCAGGTTGAGTGGTACCATCATAGCTAGATGAATCCAAAATTACTGGGCTTTGAGTGTATATATACTTTTTAACTTACCTGTTTAACTAGTTGCCTATTTATTTAAAAAGAAGTGTTGGGTTTCAGTATAAGATAAGCAGATGCTGATAGAGTTGACCAGTGGAGTTACACTCCTCTCTGGAGGCTGAAGAATTCTCAGCAAGTCGTATGCCTGAGCTCATGGGGCGACGTGGGAAGGGCTGTCCCAGTTTGCTCCTATAGCTGGTTGGACACCTCTTCCGCCTGAGTCTTCTCTATTCTGGCTTCTTCCCTTGGCACATGCCCTTGGTTTAGAGCTGGGGGCCTGGAATTGCTGCTGTTGACGGCACACATCTGCTGAATATGGAATCCCACACGGCCGTGGCACCACCCTCATCTGAACTCATGACGTTCAAGGCAGAGTGAACCTATTTTGGAGACAAGCAGATTCAAGACACTTATTGACACTTGTCTGTGTTAGGTAGTTTTAGGTACCAAAGCTTAATGGTCAGAGCTACAGAAGCTGTCTTTCATTATGTTCGAAATAGAATAAGTAATTTTATTGGAAATCATGAGAAATGCTTGAAATTAGTATTGGACAAAGAATTGATGTTTTTATTTCTTTCCTGTGACTTACGTAGACCAGCGAAGAAGAGTTACACTGTCGGGAGAAGCATCAGCCCTCCGCCCACCGTCTCGGAGCTCTGCACCCTCCTCGTGTTCCTTCTCGACGTCATTCCCTTGGTGAGGTCCTGGACCCTGCAGAGATGGCTCCACGCTGGCTGTTACTTATGTTCTTATCAGTGGTGTTGGCCTGTCTTATAAATTGAAACTTGGTGGAAAGTAGTTTTATTTCAACACATGGCACTGTTTTAATGTTTGTTTCAGCATGGAAGATGTAGCTGGATGTAATCTCCTACGTCTTTTATGTCTTATTTAAAAGGGGTTGTAACTTTTGAGCCAGTGGTAAGTTGTAAGCCACTGAGCTACAGTTACGTAAACCAGATGATGAACTGGGCGTCATCCCTGTTCTCTGGTGTTTAGGAGCGATGTGTTTCCTACATCACTACGTATGTGTAAATGTATTTCCTAGTTAAAATTGTGCAGTTGGCTAATTTTCTCCGAGGAAACTAATTACCTTAATATAGAAACAAATGTGACAGTTATTTTCTATTAGAAAAAGTAAAGCCATTTGAAAGGAGAGGAAGATCGTCCATTTGTCTAGATCAAAAAGAATTATTATTTTGTTTTCTGATTTGGGAATTAACGTGAAACTTAACTCTAAAAAACTGAATTTTCTAAGATGCCGTTCTAAGGTGTGTTTTCTTCTGATTGTAAACTGAAAGCACATGAGTTCAGCCCATGTTTTATTTCACAGGAACTTTACTCAGAGGTGCAAACCCAGTACCTGCCGCAGGTGCTTGGCTGCCTGGTGCGGCCTCTGGCTGAGGAAGTGGAGACTTTAAGCTTGCCCGAACTCACGCATGCCTTGAAGACGTGTTTCAAAGTGCTCAGCAAAGTCCAGATGCCGCCCTCCTACGTCGACACGGAGTCCACAAGTGGAAGCTCGGTGCGTGCTGGGGGGAGCTGAAATGGTTCTCGGGCTCAAAGAAGCTTGTGCCTTCCTGGGAGTCGAAAGTAGCTAGTGTTGGTTAGGATAGGACTAAAGACTAGAAGATACAGATAATATCTAACCTATGCTTCTGAAATCCTCAAAGACTTCATTAAAGTTTTTGCCGTAGAGGCTAACCCCCCTTCATTCGCTCACTCCTCTGCTCCTTCCCTGCCAGAACCCATAACCACAGCTCGTGGCTCGATGCAGCTCACCGTCTAGGCCTTTTTATGTCTTTTTATATATTTGTGTACATGCACTTTTGGGCCTTTTTAAAAATATAAGTGAGATACTAGTTTGCTTGGGCTGCTGTCACAAAGTACCACCCTGGGTGACTTAAATAACAAAAAGTTATTGTCTCACAGTTCTGGAGGCCAGAAGTCCAAGATCAAGGTGTCGGCAGGGTTGGTTCCTTCTGAGAGCTGTGAGGGAACGATCTTTTCTAGGCGTCTCTCCCAGCTTTGCCGTTCCTTGGTTTATAGACACATGACCCTAATCTCAGCCTTCATCTTTACATGGCATCCTCCCTGTGTGCATATCTGTGTGTCCAAATTTCCCCTTTTTATAAGGACACCACTCATGTCGGATCAGGGCCCATCCTAATAACCTCATCTTAACCTGATCATCTGCAAGGAGCCTATTTCCAAATAAGGTCACGTTCACAGGTACCGGAGGTTAGGACTTCATCGTCTTTTTTTAGATAACATATGCTGTTCTCTGATTTGCTTTGTTTTCATCCAAACAGTATTTTGGGGTATCTTTCTATATTGGTATACACAGAGGTATCTTACTCTTTCCTAATGTCTGCATGATAGTCTGTGGAATGGCTTTACTCTTTCTTCACCAATTCCCCTATTGAGGTTATTTAGGTTATTTCTGGGTTTTCACTGTTACAAGCAGTGCTGCAGGCAGCATCCTTGCACAACTTGTTCATGGTTGCAAATGTTTCAGAAGGATCAATTCCTAGAAATGGGCTGCAATCAACAACAATAACAATTATTGTTTCACAAGCAGTGTAAGGCCCACAGTCTTTAAAGGAATTATTATTATTATTATTATTTATTTATTTACTTATTTTTTTGCTGGGAAAGATTCACCCTGAGCTAACATCTGTTGTCAATCTTCGTCTCTTTTTTTTGTCCCCCTCCCCAAAGCCCCAGTACATAGTTGTATGTTCTAGTGGTAAGTCCTTGTAGTTTGTCTTTACGAGACACTGCCACAGCGTGGCTACTGACAGACAAGTAGTGTGGTTCCGCACCCGGGAACCAAACCCGGGCCACCAAGGCAGAGCATGCTGAATTTTCACTGCTAGGTCATCAGAGCTGGCTCTTGACTTGCTTTTTTTTACTTCGTTTAGAGATTTAAAAATTCTGCCCTTGAAATCCGTCCACTGCAATGGCAGACAGGTGTGTGAACAGACTAAAAGCAAGGCCATCCTGAGGGAGCTGTGTCTATTAGTTAGTGCTGGGGGGCCGGTGAGCTGCCTGATGGACCTGGAGCCTCCATTTACAGACTAATTACAGATGGTTGCCTCAATTTCAAGTTAGTCTTTTTTTTTTTCTTAGTTGCTGTAGCTATTAGGAAAAAATATCCTAAGAACGATTTAATATATAAAGTTGAAGCATGTGTAGTCTACAACTATAACCATGTTTCAAAAATTGCATAATACTCTCTCCTTTTCCTTAGCACCGGAGATTAAACACTGAAGAGTTTTAAATTTAATGTAATATTAGCTAATTAACAGCATAAGAAACGAGATTGATTCATTAAAGGTTGAAGTGTCATCCCTTTGGAAAAGCCAAAATATATGTGTGTGTGTTTGTGTGTGTGTATACGCATAAATATGAACGTATTTTATAGGTATACACATATAAACTCTTTGTTCTAGCTTTCTCGTCTTATTTCTTCATGCCTTTATTCTACTCTCAGCCCAGCTTCCTCATTCATATTTTTAAATCTATCAGAAACTGTTTTTGTTGTGGTTTTCTTTTGAGGAAGATTAGCCCTGAGCTAACTGCTGCCAATCCTCCTCTTTTTGCTGAGGAAGACTGGCCCTGAGCTAACATCCGTGCCCATCTTCCTCTACTTTCTATGTGGGATGCCTACCACAGCATGGCTTGCCAGGTGGTGCCATGTCCGCACCCAGGACCCGAACCGGTGAACCCGGGACCATCGAAGCGGAACGTGTGAACTTAACCGCTGCACCACCAGGCCGTCCCCCAGAAACTGTTTTTAAATGGCCTTTTTGAACCCTGAAGGGTCTAAATAGATAACACAAAGTGGGCTCAAAGCCAGCCTACCAGAAGAGCATGGCCGTGTGCCGTCCTCCTCCTTGGTCCCCTCCCTGCCCCTGGTGTGCCTTCTTCATTTTATTATACACTTGTACACAGAGAATTATGATTTTTAAAAACAGGAAGCTCACATTCATAGTTAGCCTGATGCAGTTGGTATTTGAATCTCTTCATCTTACGGGATACACAATACAAACTTCCATTTCTTGCAGAGTCCAGTGAAAGGTGAAAACGGTCATGTAATTATGGACACAAAGATCGTGATTCCGGGTGATGAAGATGCTTCGTTTCCCCCCCTTAAATCTGAAGACAGCGGGATCGGGCTCAGTGCCTCGTCGCCAGAGCTCTCTGAGCACTTGCGGGTCCCCAGGGTTTCTCCTGAAAAAGACGATGTTTGGAAGAAGGATGGGAGTATGCAGAGGGCATTTCTTTCCATCCAAGAGCTAATTGCCAACTTTGCCCACAAGAACATTTTTGGAGTGCAGTTAACAGCGTCCGGAGAAGAAAACAAGTCTGAAGAGCCCGCAGGCCAGAGGGATGAGGGCGGGGCGGCGAGCGAGTCCGGTGGGAAGAGCTTGTGGGAGGCCAAGCCCATCAGTGTGCCCCAGTTTAAGCAGATGCTCTCAGACCTGTTCACGGTTCGAGGGTCCCCGTTTAAGACAAGGAACGTGGAGTCGCCATCACCTTTGCGCAGTAGCCGTGGCCGAATGAAAGAGGGAGAATGGGCTGTGGACCAGGTGGTCGTTGACCTGGGCAGCTCACGGGAGGGCTGCAGGGAGACCTTCGCTGCCGCCTGCCACCTGCTGCTGGACTGCACCACCTTCCCCGTCTACCTGTCCCAGGAGGAGACGGAGCGGCTCTGCGAAACGCTCTTCCAGCCTCCAGGTGAGAGGGCGGCCCCACTGAAGTCCATCCTAAAGAGTCACAGTGCTCAGACAGCTCATGTGTAGAGATTCACCAAACTCATTTCAGCCAAGAAGGAGCTGTCTGCCACGTTTGTTTCCTTCTTTATCTTGTCATTAGTTGTGTGTGCTTTTGCCGTGTGTCTCACCAGATGGCAGATGGATGAGGCGGGGCCTGTACTTTTTAAACTCTGGGTTTTCAGCACAGCCCTTTAAATGGTCTGGAACATAAGAGGTGCCTAATAATAGTCAGTAAATAGGCTATTTCATGAGACTGGTTGAAGATTTGTGTGTTAGTTTTCTCGGGCTGCCATAACAAAGTGCTACAAATTAAGTGGCTTAAACAACAGAAATTTGTTGTTTCATGGTTCTTGAAGCCAAAGGTCTGAGATCAGCGTGTTGGCAGGACCATGCTCCCCCTGAAGATGCGAGGGAAGGATGTGTTCCAGGCCTTTCTCCCAGTTTCTGGTAGTTCCTTGGCGTTATAACTCCGGTCTTTACATGGCATTTTTCCTATGTATATGTCTGTTCAAATTTCTTTTTTATAAGGACCCCAGTTGCATTGGATTGGGGCCCACTTTCCTCCACTGTGACCTCATTTTAATTAATCACATCTCCATCGACCCTATTTCCAGATAAGATCACATTCTGAGGTCGTGGGGTCAGGACTTCAGTGTAAGAATTGTGGGGAAGAACACAGTTCAATCCGTAACAGGTAGTGTCTTAGTCAACTCGGGCCACTGTAACAAAATACCATAGACCAGGTGGCTGGAAGAACAGACCTTTATTTTCTCACAGTTCTGGAAGCTGGAAGTTCAAGGTCAGGGTACTAGCATTTTCTGGTAAGAGCTCTCCCTTTGGCTACAGAGGGCGGGCTTCTCACTGTGTGTTCACATCCTAGGAGTGTGTGTAGGGGGATCTGCTTGGTGTCTCTTCTTATATGGGCGCTAATCCCATCATGAAGGCTCCACCCCCATGAGGTCATCTAAACTTAATCACCTCCCAAAGGCGCCACCTCCAAATACCATCATGTTAGGGGTTGGGGCTTCAACATAGCGATTTTGGGCAGACACAGTTCCGTCCGTAGTAGGCAGTGAACATTTTAAAGAAAAAAAGGGATAGAGGGGAAGATGGAAAACAAGAAAGAGTGACTTAGTTGGTGGGAATGTAGGACAAAGATTTCCCCTCGTGTAGTCATTACCTTATATTGCTGGTGCAATTTGTCTCTTGGCTCATTAGCTGCCAATGACAGTATACTTGGAAGGACTGCTTTTAGAATTGATAGCCTCATGTAGTTTTGGCCTCTTTTAAAGCTAATGCCATGCGCCCTGCCACCAAGAGAGCTTTGAAAAAACATTTTGAACTCTACGCCCAAAAATGTAATTTTACCATATGTAAATTTAAAAAATAAAAGAAAAAGGAACGTACATTTTGAATCATCTCAAATCTCTGAGATTGACATTTGCAGAATTCAAAGAGTCTGATAAATTTATGAAACCAGGCTCAGTGTCATTTGTCCTCTGGCCCTGAATGATGGCGGCATATTGCATTACCGCCAGAGGGTTATCACACTGCTATCCACGAGACTTCCCGAATCTAAGGGTGTCTTAGAATCTGCACATTGGAGAGCCCTTCTCATGTGATTTTGTGTGTTTCCATCCTCTCTGGTCGGCTTCCTTTTAGGAGCCGGCGATTCCAGTTTTCCATCTTGGCTGAAATCCCTTATGACCATTTGCTGCTGTGTGACTGACTGCTACCTCCAGAACGTGGCCATCTCTACTCTGCTGGAAGTGATAAACCATTCCCAGTCCCTGGCACTTGTCATTGAAGACAAGATGAAACGCTATAAAAGCTCTGGACACAACCCATTTTTTGGCAAGCTGCAGATGGTGACAGTTCCTCCCATTGCTCCAGGAATATTGAAAGTTGTTGCAGAGAAAACAGACTTCTATCAGGTATTTCCCACCGGGAAGTGGGTGGGTGGGTGTTTTTGCTGAGGATGATTCATCCTGAGCTAACATTTGTGCCTGTCTTCCTCTATTTTGTATGTGGGTCGCCACCACAGCACAGCTTGATGAGTGGTGTGTAGGTCGACACCTGGGATCCGAACCCATGAACCCTGGGCCACGAAAGCAGAGTGCACAGACTTAACCACTACGCCACTGTGCCAGCCCCTTCCCAGACCATTTATTTGAAGTTATCCCTAAGGTTGTAGTCACTGTGATAAGGAATATGGCACCTCTGGTGACAACCAGAAAGGGTTGCTCAAGCCCTGTGGCTGCCTTGTCCATCTCTCTGTCCCAGGCTTCTGGCACAGTTTCTGGCCCTGCAGCAAGTACTCAGTAAAGATTTGTGTTCACTTCTAGGCTGACCAGACTTGTGCCCTAATTTGTAAGGTTAAAGGCTTGGGGCTCTGTAGCTTCCAGGGAAACTTAGCACTTGTCAGATTGAATAAATACTATTGCTGAAGGTAGTGAGCAGGTGTTGTCCATCTTTCTTGGGGAAAAAGTAGGAAAGTAGTTTAAAGTTATATATTACAGGGCTCATTTAATTTGCAAGAAGCTGAAAGCTGTTCCAGCTAGCTCATGAAGAAACATGCAGTTTATCATAAAGATAGAGCAAGCCTGTGGGAGTCAAATGTCAGGAGTGGAATGCGGGGTCTCCTGGCATCTCGCCCTGGAAGCTGTTGGATCCTGAGGCTGCTTGTCCTGCACCTCTGCCATCCAGGGGTCACCTAACTAGCTTGGTTGCCACTTGGCCTTCTGTCGGCCTTGTAACCCGTAAGCTTAGTTCTCATAGCTAGTGATGCTTGTATCTCCTTCTTATAATTCTGAACCAACTGGTCAAGGCTATTAAAGTCTGTCAGTGAGCCACCCTTGGGTCAGGTGCCTTCTTGTCCAGTCCCCCACAGCAGTGATGGGGACCAAGGGGTTAGGGGTCATGTGGTACAGATAGAGATATGCTGCCTCTCCTGGGGCCTGTCGATGGAACAAATTCCCCTGGAGGTGGTAGGGTCAGCAGACACCCTGGAAAGTCTGAGACACTAAGGAAGAGACATTTAGACATTTTAGATGTGAATGAGATACTGGAACTAAACTGTCCTTATAGGTTTTGGCAGCCTGTTGTCTGAAAGGCTTTCGCAGTAGGCTGGCTTTTTACCTATTTGCAAAGACATGAGCAGGTGCTGCCTGTGTTCACACGGTCTGCCCTCTGTCCCAGAGGGTGGCTCGTGTGCTTTGGAATCAGCTGAACAAGGAGACCCGGGAACATCATGTCACCTGTGTAGAGTTGTTCTATCGGCTACACTGCCTGGCCCCGACAGCCAACATCTGCGAGGACATCATCTGCCACGCCCTCCTGGACCCTGACAAGGTGAGTCGTCACGGCCTGTAACCTCCATCCTGCACTGGTCCCAAATGCTGGGCTGCCGTCACTTTACGTGCCCAGGACAGACTTACATATATCCAGCTGATGCGCTTCTGGAGTTCAGTGGACATCCTGAGTAACGAGCAGAAGTGTTAGAGAACCCCGGGGCTGGAAGGCCTCTGGAAGCACGAGCCGTCTCCTTTAGAGTCCTCACAGTGTGGTATGTGTCTACATGAAGGCTCCCCAGGGAAATCTACCCAAACTCTCGTGTGGTGTTGGCAGGACCTGTAAGTACCGGTGCAAGGGCTTCTAGAACTACTGGTGAAGTAGGCAGTCGTGGAGGATGCATGATCCCCTTCAGCCTTGGCTCTCCTTTGCAGTCACGCTGTGTCCTTGTTCTCTAAGCCATTTGGCCCGGCATTTCCCAGGAGCGTGAGAACCCCCTGCTCTCCTGTGTTTTCCTTTGACCGCAGGCCTGGGTGTGACCCTGGGCATGGGCTAACCCCGAGTCTTGAATCTGCACTTTGCATCCGTGTTACAGTGAACAAGGAAAGAGGATGCAGGTCTTCCTCTCCTCCCAGCCGAGTCAGACACCCAATGACTGAAAACGGTGTTCTGTTAGGAAACCAGGCTCCTCACTCCCTCCTGTTTCCTAATCAAGGGAACGAGACTGGAAGCTCTGTTTAGATTCTCCGTCATCTGGCACCTGACGAGAGAGATCCAGGGCAGTCGAGTGACATCTCACAACCGCTCCTTTGACCGGTGAGGCCATCTTTCTTATAACTTACCCTTAACCCAAAGGAAACTGCAGAGGCCCCCGGTCAGCGTATTGGGCTGGACAAGGGGAGGGAAATTGAAAGCATGACCCCATTTTCTTGATGCACAGCAGATGTTTCCCATAATCTCCTAAGTGAATTTAGGCCAGACACGTATGAATACATGGCAGGAATTTTGTTAATTTGCTCGTGGAGGGAGGAAGCCCAGCATGCCCTGGAATCACCTGAGGAGCTTTTAGAACATGCCCCATGAGGGGACTTGGTAGGGAAATGGAGATGGTGTGGATCTTGAGTGGGGCAGTGGCCACACTGGCTCTATATACTTGTAATGTTATCAACCGTGTGCCTAAGATGTGAATTTCATTGTAGATACATTATATTCCATGTTGTTTTTTAAAAAGAATTCCTTACCTTGTTTCTGAAACTTGAGGTGTGGGGCCAGACACGCAGCCTTAGATGCAGCTGGTTCTGATGCTGAGACCCACTCCCACAGTACCATTTAACCGATTTGGGGTGAGGCCTGGGCATCGAGATTTTAAAACCTCCCCCAGTGATTCTAGTGTGAAACCAAGGTTGAACTCCTGTTGTCCTTGTCTGCTTGGGTCTACAAGCCCAGCTTGGGTGAAGCTCCCTAAGGGTGTCCTGGCACTCAGGGGTGCTGAATGCTGACTTGGTGGTGCTCTTCCCACCCGCAGGTCCCTGTTCGTCGTGCTGGACAGCCTGACCTGCACGGACGGCGCCATTGGCGCTGCAGCCCAGGGCTGGCTGGTGCGGGCACTCTCCCTCGGCGACGTGGCGCGCATCCTGGAACCTGTGCTTCTGCTCCTGCTCCAGCCCAAAACCCAGAGGACCTCCATCCACTGCCTCAAGCAGGAGAACTCACCAGGTGAGCACACCCCAGGCTCCCCCATCCTGGGAGGGAGGAAGGGGCAACGTGGACCCCACTGCCCATTGCGATAATCAAGGCACTTAGACCCACTTTGTGATTTTGCTAGATTCAAACAGTGTGAAGGTACTTTGTAAATTTGTGGAGACTTTTAAAATTTAAAGATCAGATGAACCAGCACGTAGAAACACTAGGTAGTGGGATTGTTTTTTTCACTGAAAAGTTAGATTTTTTTTTTATAAAAAAGGAAAATGATAGTAACCCATGTTTCCATAAAAGTAGCTGATTCTTGATTCTTTTGCTAGAGAAGTCAATTCAGGGGCATCTAAGGCAGGAGGAGAGAATAACAGAGCATCTACCCACATGTCTCCAAAGCAGAGCCTTCCCTTAGAAAAGGAGGGTTGCAATTTGATGTCTGGCATGCAGTTAAGTTTGAGTGGCCAGGCTGGCAGTTCTCTCCAGAAGAGACCGAGCGGAGAGTTGCGGTTGCCTCCAGGCATGAGTGACCCAGAATGTCGAAATTTGCCTGTAATCTGGTCAGTTGTACTTTATCTATGAAAACAACTTTTATTTGTGAACTTTCAACAAGGGAACTAATTTCTTTTCTACCTGCTCTCTAAGGTTCCTTCCAGCTGTAAAATTCTGTTAACATATAATCGGAAATGCCTAAGAAATAAACCTTTGGGTTCCAAAAACTTCCAGAGGCATCTTTAACGCAAATTTAAAAGAACATAGGTAGGAAGAAGAAAGAAAAAAAGAAAGACTGAGATAAACCTGATGAGTTCATTAAACTAGGATCAGTGTCTGCGAACTAACATCACTTCCCACAATAGCTGTGTTTTATGACTTCCTGCAATTTTCTAAGTGATGGTGTTACAAGCTTTGAGTTCATTCATTTAGCACACTGGATGTAAATATTCTGTTTGTCTCAGTCTTCTCTTGGAGAGAAAACAGCCTAATGCCTAAATGAGCAGATTTCTGAGATGGCTTCCTCTGTTTACAGGGTTCCTTGCCTAAAACTGTAACTTCTGGTTTTCCTTTAGTAGGGAGAGCTGGCTGCCTTCTCAAAGAGGGGGTATTTTATTATTCTACATTAAAGGAGAGTAAAATTCAAGGAAGTAAAAACTGAGCACCTTCTAGAAATTTGGCTGTCATTTATGGTGGCTAAATTTCTTAGTATTCTTCTGTCTGTTTTAAGAAGAAAGTTTTAACTCCAGGGCTCATTGGGTTTTAATGGCTCGTGGCACTCCCTGCTGCTTCCTCTCATTGATGTTTTCCGCTACCTCCCTCGTAAGAGAAAAAGGCCGTTCTCTGCCTTGTTCTTTCCCCGGAAGCGCCTGAAAGTGTGCTGCTTACCCACCGTCCTACCTCTGTAATCTTGTAGAAGTCTGTTTTTAAAATATTAATATGCACATCAGGCAGCTCATCTATTTCTAATATCTTAATTCTTCCTTTTTTCCTAATCTTGCTTAACGTTCATGGAATAGATTTGTTGAAAGGTGCACATTAAAAATGTTCAGCAGTACCAAAGACTTCTGGCTTTCACTCCCTTTTAAAGAGAACTGAATGTTTTTAAATGTCGTGGATTTTATGATTACAGAAGTACCAACATGCTTATTTTTAAAACTGCAGTAATAAGGAAGTAAAGACACAAGTGAAAGTCCCTTGTAATGCCAGCTGGTAGAGCTGGTTACTGTTAATGGTGTGGCAGATATTCGTCCAGACTTTTTCATAGCTGCATGTTATGGCTACACTCCCTTACATAGGCTCATTCTATACATACCATTCTGCAGCTTGATTTTTTTTCTTTTACTTACTTAATGTATCCTGCCATTACTCTGTATCTGTACATGTAGATGTATCTTTTAAAAATCCAAATAATTTCCATTTCATGCATGGTCGTGATTGTTTCAGTTTCTTACTGTGGTTGTTTTGTTTGTGTCCCAGCTTGTCTTTACACATAACGTTTCAATGGATACCCTTTATAGCCTTGAAAACCTTCTGCTGACATTTCTGTAGGAAATGTTTCTTGAAAGGAAACTCCTGTGACAAAATAGTATGCATTTTTTAACTCACCCTCACCCCAACGTTGTGATATTTATATTTTCTATGACAATGTAACTAAATCCGATTCCTTGAGCATTTTAAAAGACCTGTTCACTGTGCTTGGCCACTTTCTGTCTGTAATGTAATCTAGACTCTGGTGTCATAGTTTCATGGGGGAATTTTATTAATATTGATCTTTCTGCCTGGCTTTAAGACAAAGACCACTTTAGAACTAACTTGTCCTAACTGGCCTTTCTGTTCTGAAGTCATCCGTCATTTTGTAATTTTCAGAAGACTTGCATCGTTGGTTTAACAGAAAGAAAACCTCTTTCAAAGGGGCAAATGGAGTGCCTGAGCTCCAGGAAGGCGGCTCTGAAGAGAGCGCACCTCTGAGCCAGTTCACCACCGTGGACCGCGAGGCCATTTGGGCCGAGGTGGAGAAGGAACCGGAGAAGTGCCCACCGGGAAGCGAGCTGAGCGAAGATGACCTTCCTTACTACGTGGACCTTCCCGACAAGATGGCCTGTGGCGCTCCAGACAGCAGTGAGCACACCGAGTCTGCAGACACGAGCTCTGCCCACACGGACAGCGAGAACACATCCTCATTTTCCTCCCCTTCCCATGACCCGCAGGAGCAGAGCAATGAAGAGAACTGCTGTGCACCCATCCCCATGGGAGGCAGAGTTTACCCCAAGCGCTCTGCCTTCCTGGCAGCCTTCCAGGCAGAAAGCTTCAAGTCCAGTGCCAAATTAAACCTGACACGTGTGGACTCAGACAGAACCCAGGCTTCAGAGTCATTCTCCAGTGACGAGGAAGCTGACCTGGAGCTCCAGGCCCTCACCACGTCCAGGCTGCTGAAGCAGCAGCGGGAAAAGCAGGAGAAGATCGAGGCCTTGTTTAAGCACATTCTGCTCTACCTGCAGCCCTACGACTCCCGGCGAGTCCTTTATGCCTTCTCAGTGTTAGAGGCCGTGCTCAAAACCAACCCCAAGGAATTTATCGAGGCTGTGTCTAGGACCAGCATGGACACCAGCTCCACCGCACACCTCAACCTCATCTCCAACCTTCTTGCTCGCCACCAGGAGGCCCTCGTTGGCCAGAGTTTCTACGGAAAACTCCGGACCCAGTCTCCCAACGTGTGCCCCCACTCTCTGCTCATCGAGCTGCTCACCTACCTGTGCCTGAGTTTCCTGCGCAGCTATTATCCGTGTTACTTGAAGGTCTCCCACCGGGACATCCTGGGCAACCGGGATGTACAGGTCAAAAGTGTGGAGGTTTTGATTAGAATGATGACGCAGCTGGTCTCGGTGGCCAAGTCTGCTGAAGGGAAGAACGTGGAGTTCATCCACAGCTTACTGCAGAGGTGCAGAGTTCAGGAGTTTGTCCTGCTTTCGCTATCAGCATCCATGTACACGAGCCAGAAGCGCTATGGACTGGCCACCGCAGAGCGGGGCCGGGCCCTACGGGAGGACAGCCTCCTGGAGGAGAGTCTCATCAACTTGGGCCAGGATCAGATCTGGAGTGAGCACCCACTGCAGATCGAGCTGTTGAAGCTACTTCAGGTGCTGATTGTCTTGGAACACCACCTGGGCCAGGTCCAAGAGGAAGCGGAAAATCAGCCAGACCTGTCCCGGGAGTGGCAGAGGGCCCTTAACTTCCAGCAGGCCATCAGCGCCATGCAGTACGTGCAGCCCCACCCCCTCACCTCCCAGGGGCTGCTGGTGTCCGCTGTGGTGAGAGGCCTGCAGCCAGCCTACGGCTACGGCATGCACCCAGCCTGGGTGAGCTTGGTCACGCATTCCCTGCCGTACTTCGGGAAGTCCCTGGGCTGGACAGTGACGCCCTTCATCGTCCAGATTTGCAAAAACTTGGACGAGCTGATCAAGCAGTATGAAAGTGAATCTGTGAAGCTCTCTACTAGGTATGCTGACCCTTTGATGCATTATTATGGCTTTAATGATGGCTTTTATTGCTTTAATGACAGCTTTTATAATGAAGAGCTGACTGGCTGTAGAAGCTCCTTGGAGGATAATGTCAGCCTAATCAGAAGCCTCTTTATTGTCAGGAGACGTAACAAGGAACTGAACGTTCAGATCCTTTATTTTTAATTCCATACCGCTCCCCAGGCTAGCTCAGTATTGCAGAACAAGTCAGTCACTCTCCATTATTTCTGCAAAACAAAAATAAAAACGTTAATCACCTTCACAGAAATTCTAAAACATCTGAAAATGTTTTTCCAAAGCAACTATGTAAATGTAAAATATCACAAAAGATGCCTATCAGTATTGCAACAATATTTCATTATGAGAGCCCCAGTATTATAAGCATATTTCATTATGAGAGCCCCAATATTATAACCGTATTTCATTATGAGAGCCCCTGTTTTTTAAGATAGTGATATCTCTCTGGTTTCTATGCTTATATGTCAGATTAAAAATTTTATGTCCTCATTCTTAAAAATTCTCAAAACTGGTTTCTCATTTCTTCACCAAAGCATAACCTCCAAGAGGGAAAACATTTCTCCGGATTATCCACTCACTCTTTTGGAGGGTCTGACAACCATTAGTCATTTTTGTCTTTTGGAACAACCCAACCAAAACAAAAAGGTAAATTTTTTTTTCCTGAGTTTGAGGTGTTTTTCATATATTGTTTTGTCTTCATTGGGTTATGTCTGTTTCAAATAAGAAATATACATATGTAAGTAATGCAAATATATATGCAAATTTATGCATGCAAATATATGTATGTAAGTAATGCAGTTGTGGTTTGCTTTTTTTCTTGTTTTTTAAATTTTTTTTTTTAAGATTTTATTTTTTTCCTTTTTCTCCCCAAAGCCCCCTGGTACATAGTTGTATATTCTTTGTTGTGGGTCCTTCTAGTTGTGGCATGTGGGACGCTGCCTCAGCGTGGTTTGATGAGCAGTGCCATGTCCGCGCCCAGGATTCGAACCAACGAAACACTGGGCCGCCTGCAGCGGAGCGCACGAACTTAACCACTTGGCCACGGGGCCAGCCCCTGATAAATGTTTCTTTTTTTTTTTTTTTCTGCTTTATCTCCCCAAACCCCCACTGTACATAGTTGTATATCTTAGTTGCAGGTCCTTCTAGTTGTGGGATGTGGGACACCGCCTCAGCGTGACCTGACGAGCAGTGCCATGTCCACGCCCAGGACCCGGACCCTGGGCCGCTGCAGCGGAGCGCTAGAACTTAACCACTTGGCCACAGAGCCAGCCCCAGCCCTGTGGTTTTGTTCTTCTGGCACTCCCTCTGGGCCCCTATTGCCCTTGCCTATTCATCAGTAACTAAATAGGATAAAAAGTAATCTTCACCCCCCCCCCCCCCCCCCGTGTATTTTTACTTGACCTCATGGTGTTCATGAGTCTGTATTGGAAGACATTTAGCTGTTAATTGCCCTACCCTATCTGGAATTTAAATTGTAGAATGCAGCTAATGCTGTGGCTGAGTGACTGAAAGAGTTTGTCACGTGGAGCCTCAGACTCACAGACATCCTCTTTTGAAAGAAAACCCTGGGTTTTAAATGCACAGGGAAGCGTTTTGCTTCCAGACCACCACAGGTGGGTCTTGCTCAGAAGAGTGCTACAGCCCAGACTTCGTCCCCCCAGCACCGCTGTCCTCACCAGAAGGGGACGGTGCCACAGCTGCCGCAGAGTCTCACATTCATTTTCATCTTTAGACCCCTGCCGTACGTGATCCTACTAATTTGAAAAATGCCAAGAATGCCATCCTGGAAGAGCTGCCCCGGATTGTTAACACCATGGCCCTTCTCTGGAATGTTCTCAGAAAGGAGGAGACTCAGAAGAGACCCATTGATCTCCTTGGAGCCATGAAGGGATCCTCTTCCGTTTACTTTAAAACCACCAAAGTGAGAGAACTTCCTCTGTGGTTGCATTGTTTCCTTTGTCTTGTATTGTCCCATGAAAAAGAAATACGTGCAGGAGTATATAGGTAAATAATCAAACAGTGTGCTCGATGCAGCCCAAGTTAGAAGTAAGTCAGAAGGAGAAATCTCCAGTTTATTAGAATAAGTTTTCTGTTGCTATAAAGAAAGCCTTTGTGGGTGGTTTTCAGCCTATTATTTTTCCCCCTTTGTCCTCTCCCCACCTTTTTTTAGCTAAAAATAAAGTCGCTGGGCGTTCCCGGCAGGGTGCTGAAAGTCCTTACCTATTTCTCAAGCTCCTCTACCAAGACAGCTTCTTTCTTATGTCCTGCCTTTTAGTGGTGCCTTGAACACGGGCACGTCAAGGTGGAATGTTGCGGTATCTTTCAGTTTTTTATTAAACCAGAAGCGTATAATGCAGAACCTTTGTAGTCCACTCCCCCTCGGCTGTAACAGTCTCTGCCTTGGAAGGTTTCCAGGCACATGACTCAATCTCAGATTGCCACATGTGGCGGCTCAGAAATACCTGGCTGTGTCTCACGTCCACTGAGCACCCCTGGTGCCAGGCACAGCCTCAGGGCTGACATGGGCATCCAGCTTCCTGGGCTGAGTGGGGTGGTTTAGAGCAGGGCAGCCAGACTGCCTGAGTTCAGCTCTCTGCTCGGCCACACTATGGGACCTTAGGCAAGTTCATTAACCTCTCTGTGCTGTGGTTTCCTCACTTGGAGGCACGATGCCAGGCACTATCCAGAGTGCTGTGCTTTACTAGAGTATTTAGTCCTCACCTGCGAGGTAGGTACTATTATTCCCAGATTACAGGTGAGGACATTGGGGCATAGAGAAAGTGAGTTTGCCCTCGACTGCACATCTGATAAGTGGCAACACTGGGATTTAATTTAACCCAGGCAGACTGATGCCCAGGTGAGTGCGCTTTTAGGTACTGTGATGCACAGGTGGCCTCCAGAATGTTCTGTCAGTTTCAGGGGTGCCCTCCAAGGGAAATCTGCTATATTTCAAGCTGCTACAGGAACCTGCTCTAAAAAGGGTTCAGAAAACCCTTAGGTGCTCAACCTCTCTGAGCCTCAGCTTCCTCATCCAAAATGAGTCCAATTTTTTTTTTTAAAGATTTTTATTTTTCCTTTTTCTCCCGAAAGCCCCCGGTACATAGTTGTGTATTTTTCTTAGTTGTGGGTTCTTCTAGTTGTGGCATGTGGGACGCCTCCTCACTGTGGCCTGATGAGTGGCGCCATGTCCGCGCCCAGGATCTGAACCAGCGAAACCCTGGTCCTCCAAAGCGGAGTGCATGAACTTAACCACTCAGCCACAGGGTGGCCCCAGAGTCTGATTGTTAAATGAGTTGTTAGTATCCTGCCTCAGGGGCTGATGGCAAGATTCATTTTGATGATGGCTGACATTTATTGAGCACTTAACCCTAACCCTCCCTGAAGGACCCAAGGCCTTGAGCTGGGATCCCTGGTCATCTTTCTAGAGCAGAAAACATGGTGGAATGGGAAGACATCTCCGTCCCATGTTCACTTGTGTCTAACGTGATGCTCAACGTAGGCCGTGGGGACATAGCGCTCAGTAAATTCATGCATTCCACAGACATTTGCGTGCCTGCTGCTGTGGCCCAGGCCCTGATTATAGGCTGGTGGACAGGATAGAGGAAGTCCCTGCTCTCATGGCAGACACAGACATTAACTGGCAATTTAAAAACAATGATGATAATGCTACAAAGAAATGCAGGGTGCCCTGACAGCATGTGCAAGGAACCCGGCCTGATCTGGGGGCCAGAGAGGCCTTCCTGAGGTGCAGTGGCTGAGCCGAGACCCCAGGGTGAGAGGATTTGACCAGGGGAGGGGTGTTAGAAGCTGGGAGACCACCAGGATTTACAGAGGAAGGAACATGGCAGGTTCCAGGAACGGAGACAAATCCGTGTGTAGCAAAAGGGAGGCTGGTGAGTGATGTCCAGGGCCGTGTTGTGGGTTTATTTTAAATTAATCACATAATAAAATTAGTTGAATGATACTAATTTCTGGAAATTGAAAAACTTCTTTCCTAATGAGTATAAGCCCTTCCTGGGCTGATGGAGACAAACTTAGGCTGGGGGGTTTCAGGATGGGAACAGCGCCAGCCCCACTGTCCTCCCTTTCTCTCTTGTCTCTGCAAAGCATTCGGGGGCTTCCTTCAAGCACCTGCCCCGCTCACGGCTCCTTGAGGGGCATGTTTATCGTCTCCCCAGAGTCTCTTCTTGCTCAGCTCCACTAACCATCCCCTGTCCACCCAGCTTCCCCACCGTGCATCACACATTCTCATGCATCCAACTCCTCTCCCCGTGACCCAGAGCACGGTGTTGGGAACGCTGAGACGACACAGCGCCTGCTCCCGGCATTTACAGATGTGGTGGAGTATACAGTATGCCACAGCCCCGGACTTCTCTGCTATCACTCTTCTTTTTTCCATTTTTTAGACCATACGACAAAAAATCTTGGACTTCTTGAACCCCTTGGCAGCCCATCTCGGAGATCAGTTAACGGCCGCCGTTGCAGCAGTATGGAGCAGAAAGAAGGTGAAATGTCACAGTAAGATGAAGGTAACATTTGGGAACGAAAGTAATAGTTAAACTTATTACTCTGCCCAAAATGCCAGAGTAATGTGTAATCAAAGGGGACATGGGAGGCCGACAACGGAAGCTGTTGAAGTAGTTTCACCATTTCAAATGCATGAGATGATTTTTTTTTTTTTTTGGTGAGGAAGATTAGCCCTGAGCTAACTACTGCCAATCCTCCTCTTTTTGCTGAGGAAGACTGGCCCTGAGCTAACATCCATGCCCATCTTCCTCTACTTTATATGCGGGACGCCTACCACAGCATGGCTTTTGCCAAGCAATGCCATGTCCGCACCCGGGATCTGAAGTGGCGAACCTGGGGCGCCGAGAAGCGGAATGTGCAAACTTAACCACTGCGCCACCGGGCCGGCCCCTGCACAAGATAATTTGGCTGCATCTGATTACAACTAGAACTACATGTTGGGTGGGTGGAGAGGGGAGCCCACCCCTGACTTCTGTTTTCTGATCTCTCTATGGTGAATATCTAGTGCTTCTATTTAACCTTTTAAATCTAATATCTAATAGCATACGTACGAGAATGTATATCACATGTACATTTCAAAGAATTAGAAAACCACCATGAGCCTACCACCCAGCTCAAGGAATGGTTCATGATCCCACCGGTGAGCACCGGAGCACCCCTACAGGGCCCTTCCCTGGTTGTAGTACCATCTTAGAGCTTTTTTTTAACCATTTTTCTTAAAAGACAGTATTTTTTTAGAGCAGTCTTAGATTACAGCAAAATGAGAGGAAGGTACAGAGGTTTCCCGTGCATCCCCTGCCCCCACACATGCGTGGCCTCCCCTGTTATCAACATCCCTGCAGAGCGATCCACTTGTTGCTATCAGTGAACCTGCAATGACGCATCATTGTCACCCAGGGTCCATATGCTTTTTCAATTTATAAAAATAATACTCACCAGCCAGCCTTGATGGCCTCGTGGTTAAGTTCAGCGTGCTCCACTTCGATGGCCCGAGTTCAGTTCCCGGGCACAGACCTACACCACTCACTCGTCTGTCAGTGGCCATGCTGTCACGGTGGCTCACAGGCATAAAGAGGAAGATTGGCAATAGATGTTAACTGAGGGCAAGGCTTCCTCAGCAAAAAATAATGATGATAGTAACACTCAACAAAAGTTTATTAAAAACTTAAGTCATCACATTTCTATCCCTGAAAATAACTTCAATCTGCTTTTCACGCATTCTTTCTCCACTCACTGCTCCAGGGGTTTGGTTTACCCATTTCTGCAAAACCAACACACACCTCTTCCTTTGTTCCCTCTCTTGACCATCCAGGTTCCTACCTTGTACCTGGTCTGTCCCAGGTCTGTCCCACCCACTGAACACTAGCTCAGTGCCCAACATGGGTTCCTTTTCCTCGAGGAGGCATGAGAGGTTGGTGGCCCAGGTCACCCTGCTTAGCACCTGTGGAGTCTGTCCTGGTGATGAACCTGATACTTCCAAGTGCATGTGACCATGTTATGGAGATTTCAGTCATCAAAATGTACCTCCCACATGGGTTTTCCTGCCAAGGCCAGCTAGGGTGAACCTGATTTATCTGTTTCTCTTACTTCCTCATACTTTTGGGGCTGTCTCTTAATGCTAGCCTGTTTCCTTCAGATTAAGTATACCTGTTTCCAAAATGCTTTCTAAGCTCGAAAACACCAGGGTTACTGCCCCATCATCAAGTGCACCTTTTATTCAGATGCTGACACGTTATTGTGATTAAATGCATAACTGGCTCTTTATTCCCACCAAGGGAGTCCTTTACCCAGTCCTCATTTATATATGTGTTTAAAAGATTAAAACAAATCTCTTTCTCCAGGGGCAACTATTATAGAACACTTTCTGTGTATCCCTCTTTTGTTTTCTTTCTGTATACTTTAAAGGAATTGTTTTTGCCTGAACAGATCATCCCAGCAGCGAGTGCATCCCAGCTAACCCTCGTCGACCTGATTTGTGCGCTCAGCACCCTGCAGACCGAAAGGGTGCTGCAGCTGGTGAAGGAGGTGGTGAAGAGGCCGCCACAAATTCGAGGGGACGAGGTCAGGAGCCTGGGGACCCTCCCGATGAATGCGTGGCTTTCTCATAACCTCCTATCTTATAAATTGTGTTTGGGAAGGAAATAGAGGTCTCAGGAGCAACTAGGAATTTTGGTGGTTGTGAAAGGGAGGTGTTCTTACTGGGCTTTGGGGAGACTGTGTACCTCATAGGCTTCTGTGCTGCCTTCTTAAGGTGGGAACCACTTGAGGTCAGGGACTGTCTTTCGTCCTTACGTCCCTGCTGCAGGGCGCCCTGTCCGGTACACGGGTTCTCATCAAGTACCCTGTGTGCCAAAGTGAATAAAACCTTTAGAAAGAGAAAATGGCACTTGCCTCCAGGAGGTCGCAGCCTAGAAGGCGTCAAAGATAAGCAAAGCCAGACACTAGTTAAAGGTGGTGAAGACCAGTTTTATTCAGTAAGTACTGCGGTGGTGGAGAGAGCTGAGCTCAATTCCGAGGTGTGCAGAGGTAACTGGGTATTTTAACCTGAGGGTGAGAGAGTAGGGAGGGGAAACTCCAGCAAAGTCAGGAAAGTGGAACATTACAAGAAAGTGGGAAGGGGCATTTGTCAGTGTGATTAGACCGTGTGGGTTTGCCAGCTGGTGCTTAGGGAAACTACTCCCACGGAGACAAGGAGACGGGGGCCCTGTCTTTTTTTGATGATGATATTTCAAAGGGATGGCTCCCATGTCCTTGAGAAAGGCATTCCTGGGTTGTGGGAGATGCATACATATCTCAAAGGGACAGAGGAAGGATTTAGAACTGTACACTTTTCTTAATAAACACTCTGAAAAAAGGAGATCAGGAGTCTCCTGGATCTTGGCTGAACAAATGGCAAATTGTTGTGGCAGCCTGGAGCTTCCTCCCGCCGGGGTTTGAGGGGTGGGGTATCATCCTAGGGACGGGGCCCTGAGCTGCTGGGCACCATGCTGGAGTCTGTGCAAGTCTCTTAGTGTGGGAGGCGGATGAAATTGTTTGTCTGAAAGTTTTAGCCCTCACAGGACGATGTTGAGGCCTAGTTGAGAAGAGAATTCAGAGGAGCCTGACTAGAGTCAGGCCAAGGAGAGCATCTTAGTCAAAGGGCAGGTTAAAAATTTCTGTCGTTTTTATAAAAGCAGAAATTACGTGTCAGAGGACATAACTCATTCTAGACATTCTGAGAAAGAAGAGATTTCGTGTTGCTGTGGTGAAAGCAGTGGCATTTGACAGGTGATGTGGCTGAACCATGAAGCTCTCAGAGGTTTTTTTGCTCAATTTCTGCTTAGGAGTTGAGGGGGACTGTGAGGCACAGAGAGCTTCTTCAGTTATGCACAATGGTCTTGAAACAGAACAGACTTTGAGGTTTAATATTTTTATGCCCTTAGAGGTTTTGCTTTTATCAAGGCAGAGCTCCTCATTGAAAGTGTAGGAGCTGTTTTGTTCTTAATTAATTAATTTGATAGAAACCAGTGATTTATTTCAGCCTTGAAATAACTGCCTTCTATCTGGTGATTTAAAATTGTGCAGATAGGAAAAATTTAAGAATAATTCCTTAAATGAAATTAGTAAAATGGAAAAAGTGATCATTACAAGCTATAATCCGGTGGGACTGTTCAGCATGTTCCACTTCAGCGGCCCAGGGTCAGTTCTCAGGCACGGACCTACACCACTATGTTACCAGCCATGCTGTGCTGGTGGCCCACATACTGAAAAACAGAGGAAGGTTGGTATGGCTGTTAGCTCAGGGTGAATCTTCCTCAGAAAAAAAAAAAAGGCATATATGGTTTTACTCAAATAGATATTTGTACACTAGTATTCATGACAGCATTATTAACAATAGCAAAAGGTAGAAACCACCGAAGTGTCCATCAACGCATGATTGGATAAACAAAATGCAGTTTACACATACAGTGGAATAGTGCTCAACCCTAACAAGGAATGAAATTCTGACACATGCAACAACATGGATGAACCTTGAAAACATGCTGAGTGAAGTAAGCCAGACGCCAAAGGACAAATATTGTATGATTCCACTTATATGAGGCATCTAAAGTAGTCAAATTCATAGAGACAGTTTAATTTAGTTTAGAAATTCTGGTTTAGAATGGTAGTGGTCAGGGGCTGGAGGAGGGGGAAATGGAGAGTTAGTGGTTAGTGGGTAGAGAGCTTCAGTTTGGGAAGATAAAAAAGTCTGGAGATGGGTGGTGGTGATGGTCACACAACCTTGTGAGTGTCCTGAATGCCACTGAGCTGTATGTTTAAAAATGGTTAAAGTGGTAAATTTTGTTATGTATATTTTACCATAGTAAAACATTTTTATAACAAATAAAAGGAATATAATTTTTAAATATTAAGGTCATTATGCTCAGGATGGTGAGGAGAGGCTGAACCCTGGAATCAGAAATGGTTTCGGCCGTTTTTCACCCCATAGTGAGAAAACTGACCAAGAATATCTTAAGCCATTTTTATAACTCTTCCTGCCCTGGAGGGGAACTGTCCGTCTGGGGCTCCTCCTCTGAAAGGGCCTCTTGCACGTTCTCTCAGGATAGAAATGTCTGTGCTGGGAAGGCCTGGCCCCATTTGGGCTTCTAACCAGTCAGTGAGACCCCGGGCCCTGGTCACCTTCTTTCCTTCCGCATGTTGATTGAAAATCAACTGTGTCCATCCGTGGTGGGGAATCCTGAATAGTGAGGCTGTTCCTGCTCTTCCTCAGCCTGTATCCTAGTTGGGAAAAGCAGATAAGCCAGCCTGAAAATTAACACCATGAAGCCAGAGTATGATGTGCTGAAGGACTCAGGTGTAAAGTGGACACAGGCAACTTCCACACGGTTTGTCAGACGCGCCCCTGGGTCTCCCTCAAATGCCTGACAGTCCTGTTGCCTTTCGCTCTTGTCACTCTTGTACGTCAGTGTTAAAGTAATGTAATGCTGGAAGAGAGGAGTGGGGATGGAGGGGCCGCCAGATCCCTGGTGGATTTGTGTTTATGACTCTGAGCAAGTCTCAGGTGTCAGGAAGCTGACCTTCCACGCCGGTAGGAATGGCGTTAGGATGCAGACCCACAGGTGAGCTGTGCTCTGGGAGAAGGCGCTGGGCCGGCTTTTATACACACAACAGGTGCTTTTAGGTCTTGTTCCTTCACGTTATTTGAATTTCCACAAATATCTGCAACTTCTGGTCTTGTCTTGGCCAAAAAAAAAACTAGATCGTGCCTGGCTGACTGGTTTTTGGCTGCTCAGATAACTAAATTACATTTTGTGGTTAATTTAATTAGCTCAACTTGGATAACTTCTACAAATAGCTTTTTACCAGCAAGGAGGGAAAAAAAGGAAAAAATGTGTGTTTTGAAAACCAGTTTGCAAGTAATTCCAGCCACTTGGAATTTAGGGAAGTCGTCTGGGCTGAGTTTGAGGGCATTCCTTGAGCTAAGAGTTAAAATATTTTGTTGTCTCCTGCCTGTAGCTGGTCACATGCGCTCATGAGGGTCAACACTGGCCGCTGTTTGTTTGGGAAGTTTCGGTTATAATGCCGCATTTTCCCCACATGCTTGCTGAAAGCCTGGAATGGGAAGCCGGCAAACAGAGAGGGAATGGCTCTGGCAGTCTGATGGGGCCCTGATGATTTGAGACCTCCTAGGATACATTTGTTGTTGTTACCCTTGGGGGAACTTTCATGTTTATTATTACATTTGAAAGACTCTTTGGCTAAAAACCTTAGCTTTGTTAGGATGTAGAATCTGTTTCATTTTGTATTTGAATTCTTTTTCAGCCCGTTTCCTACCAGTGTGGAGTAACAGGTTTCACTTTAATTTGCAGAAGTCGCCCCTCGTGGATATCCCCGTGCTGCAATTCTGCTATGCTTTCATCCAGAGGTAATGCAGCCCCTCAAAGCGCCTCCCAATTGTGGGTGCTGTTGCAATGATTGTAAATAATTACTTGGATTGTGTTTCTTGACTGTGGGAAAGCCTTTGTTCATAAATACCTTAACGCTGTCCTGATTTCTTCCTGAGGTGTGGGCATGCCCTGATGATCTTACTCATCCTTCTCCAGAGACCTAATCTGACATTTCTCAGTTCGTGTGCTGTATGTTGAACACTCTGTGTTAGCAAAGCTTTATGTGAGGCTTGGTAAACTTTAAAAGAAACAGTTCACATTGAGTTGATACCAAAAAAGAGAAAAGGAATGCGTTCAAGACCTCTTTTAGAAAAAGGAGGTGTGTTTGTTTTTTGTGCTGTCCTCACTACATCCCTTGTGTTCTACTGGATGGCTTCTGCTTGGGTTTATGAGCTTAACGTCCATCCATATTCAGCAGTCTCAGCGACAGGAGGTATTGAAGCAGATTCTCCAGGCATTTCTCCACGGATGAGAAGGAACTTGACTGGGCCTCGTTCACAGCTTTCAATGGCACGCCCCAGGGGCAGCTCCCAAACCCCTCCACCGTGTGGGGCATTCTCTGTTGCCGTAATGAGGATGAAGGTGATACAGACACCTTCTCAAGGAAGCTTTCATATCCTCACATTTGTTTCTGGAGTTTCACAATAAGTAAATCTGACAGCTAGGTGCAGGCTCCTGGGTTCACACAGTTCATGTTCTGTGTGCTTATTGTGACTCACCACATGCTGAAGGTGCAGGAAGGTAAATCGAGGGTCATGACCCCGGGAGTCCCTGAGTGTGGGGTTAAGTTCAGACCAGCTGTTCACCCTTCACCCATAAGCATCATTGTTCTTTCCTCCAGGAGCTGAAGATGAACTGGTCGCGTCTCCTCATGATAGCTTAATAAGTACTGTAACACAGGCGTCTGTGACAGTGGTCTCAGGGATGTCTGAGCTCTCACAGCAGCTGTGGGTCAGATGCCTGTTGTCCTCCTTTTGCAGAGGAGGCACTGCCGAGGTCACTCAGGAGGCAGGAAGTTGGGGACCAGGACTCGAACCTGGGGCCCTCTGGCTGCAGCTGAGCGGCAGCGGATTGTGCTGTGTGGCCTCACTTTGTAGCAGCAATCTGAATCCTCCTCATGCCTGGTGGGGCTTGACTGGAGAGCTGCTGAAGATAGCTTCCTGGTGGATGCGGCCCCTGACCCAAGGCTTTGCAACCTTCGAGCAGTTGTCTCTGTTACCAGCAGCACCAGGGAAGCTGAACGTTAGAGCTAGACAGGCCGAGAGACTAAGGCTTTTATTTCATAGACGAGGAAACGGGAAGCATCTGACCTGTCAGCAGCAGGATTTCAGGTCTCCAAACTAAGTTCTTGCCAGAATACCAAAATGGAGCTTGTGTATGTGTTAATTTAAAAAGAACAAACAGATCAGTCAGATATGCCATCTTCCCTCTGCTTCTCAACCACTGGATCAAAAAATGATAATAAGTACACATTTTGTTTTGACTTATTCACGGTTGGGTATTTTTTCCTATGTTTTTTAAAAACAGGCTCCCAGTCACGGCCTTACAAGAGAACTTTCCTTCGTTGTTGGGTGTGTTAAAGGAATCCGTGCAGTTGAATCTCGCTCCCCCTGGGTATTTTCTGCTTCTCAGGTATCTGTCGTGTCCCAGCATTCACGTTACTGTATTTTTCTGCTGGAACCTACTTTATTTCTGGGGCGTTCTGAGTCTAAAGTTGGTTGTCTCTCAACAGCATGCTGAATGATTTTGTCACAAGAACCCCCAACCTAGAAAGCAAGAAGGATCAAAAAGACCTTCAGGTCTGTATGTGAAAGCGTTGGACAGACTATTAGTGTTCCAGGAGCTGCCCGTCTTCAGAGGATGTCGTAGATAGTGAACGCTGCGCAGAATCAGATCTGAGATTGGTGTTCGTTCTCAGGTCTAACTTCCTCCATTCCTGTCTGTAAAATCTCATCAATAATTTTTAAATGCTGATGCTATTTTGGATAACATTATTAACTTGTTTCTTTTTTACTTTTTAACGTGGCTCGTAGAAAATTTAATATGGCCTATATGGTTCACAGTTGTGGCTTGCATTATATTTCTGTTGGATGGGGCTGTTTCAGGCACTTAAGTTTCTTTTCCTTAACTAACTTTCTTTCCTCTTTCTTCCTACTGCTCTCAGGAAGTCACTCAGAGAATCCTGGAAGCTGTGGGGAGCATTGCTGGCTCTTCCTTGGAACAAACCAGCTGGCTAAGCAGAAACCTGGAAGTGAAGGCCCAGCCTCAGATCTCTCTGGAGGAATCTGACGCCGAGGAAGATTTGTATGGTAGGTGTGGAAGGGTCAGAAAATAACTCTCGCTGCCAGCTAGTGGGTCCAATTTTTTATTTTTCCTAAATAAACTGTCTGTTTTTATTTCTCACAAATAAACAACAGGATTCACTGATAGTGTCCTGAGTGACGTGTGCCACTGTGTTAAGCCCTAGGTGGGGGGCCAGGAAAGTAACTTGCCAAGATAATTTGCATAGACTCAGTGATAGAAAGCTGTGCGGGGAAAAAAGAGTATGAGAATGCATGTTTTCCTTTTTGTGGAACCTTGGAGAGAGAACTTAGAAAACCAACAAACTGTTGTCAGGCAGTTTACGTCGTGTATTTCATTTCCGACTAGCACGCCCTGGCCTTTCAGTGATCCTTGTGTGTAGTCGTCGGCCGAAGTGTGAAGATGTTGTAATGGGGGTCGCGTGGACGAGGCGGACTGCAGCATTATGATGTTATGGCTCTCTATGAAAATAGTCGGGAGACTTGCAAAAGAGACGCGTGTGTTTACTCGAAGGATCAGTCATCAGCCAGGTCCTCTTGAGGAGTCTGGATTAAATTCAATAGTGTAGATTGTCGATTGCCAGTGTCCCAAAGGCCACCAGACAAATCTGTCAATGAAGCAAATCTTAGCTTATTAGACCTACTGCAGTGAGGGAGACACTTAGAGTGGCAGGAGTGTCTCACGGGGGGCCTTGGGGGAGCACGTGTATAGGGTTGTAGGGCCGTGGCTGAGCCATTTGTGGCAGATCTTTCAAGGTGGAGAACTGGTGGGGATCAGGCAGTTAATGATAAAATACCTCTCGATGGTTGGGCGCAGCACAGGTGAGGGTCCAGAAGTGAATCTGGGTGAGCACACTGCTCGTTTTCATAAGTAAGCCATTGTAGTTGGTTTACAGTTTTTCTTTCGGGATTAAGTATATCTTGGAGCAAGTAATTATTTTTGCTGGTTCTCAGTATTATTTAACACTGGGACAGGAAAGTCTGCCCAGTCCCAGTATTGCTTAACAACGGACGAGAAAATAGATTTGGTCTCAGTTTTATTATCACAGGGGCAAAAAATTGCATTTGAGTTCTCAGTATGAACTACATAGCAGAGTACCCACTACAGAGTCGATGTTCGAAACCGTTAGCCTTTCTGACTTCTGTCATAAACATTCACACTAGTTACAGCAGCAGAACCAAAGCTAAATTTGTGCTTTTTAATATACAAAGGGAGAAGTGTCAGGAAGTCAGAACTCTTTGCTCTTGCAAGTAACAGAAATCTATTTTAGACTAACAGAAATAAAACAACAAGATAAAAAACTTTGGCTCACGTAAGTGAAAAGCCCAGGCGTCAGTATCTGGTTTCAGGTATAGCAGGTGCTCAGAGGAGGTTAGTCAAGTCCCATGCAAAGACTCTGGTTGGCTCCTCTCGGGCCATGCAGCTGACCCGGAGGACGGGAAGAAGGGCTGGTGCACTGGAGCCACGAGAAATGGGCTCCCACCTGAACGCGGGGTTCTCTTCCCAGGAGGAGGAAGGGTGGTGTGCTAGACAGACAAACTGTGGTACCCCCATCCATTACTCTTGCCGTATTTGTTTGATAGGAAGTGTTGTGGTTTGCATAAGAAAAATAATTACACTGTAATTACTCTATAATGAAGACACTATAAGTGGTATACTGTCATTTGCTAATATAAACCAACAATTATGCTTTCTCAGGCTGTGGTTGTGGTTGTAGTTGTGGTTCTAGGGAAAGAGAGCTCTTGCTTCTCCTTGGCTAACTTGCCCTCAGTTATTTCTGTTGTACATACTATCATAGGGATTACACTGCTGCTCCACCGCCAGTGCAGCTGTGCTGGCTGTGTTCAGTCAAATGTTACTGGGCCTGGCTTTTGTGCAAAAATTACATTTAACCTTAAGACACTACTGTGGTAAAATAATTACTTGATTTTTTTAAAAAAAAGAAATGATAGGGGCTGTCCTGGTGCTGTAGTGGTTCAGTTCGTGTGCTCCACTTCGGCAGCCAGGGGTTTGCAGGTTCAGATCCCGGGTGCAGACCTATGCACCGCTCATCAAGCCGTGCTGTGGCATCATCCCATATATAAAATAGAGGAAGATTGGCACAGATGTTAGCTCAGAGACAATCTTCCTCACCAAAAAAAAAATTATAGAATTCCAAAGCTGGAGGTGATTTTTGAGCTTCTCAATAAAACTTAATTAGTAAATTATAAAGCACCAAAAAACCCAAGTGTAGACCATAACTGTATTTTGTTTATGTTTCAGTCTTGAACAAACTAAGTGTACATATTGGCCATATAAAGCATGATACAGAATGAGGCTTCAAAGTGAAGTATATTTCTCCACTTAAAGTTGTATGCATGCAGTGGATGTGCAGGTTCTTATGTGTAGATTTGCGTCTGGTACGTGGCACACACTGTGTTCTGCACACTGGTGCCATAGCAGCAAACAAAATGAGCTGGGCCTCTGGGCGTGGAAGATGATAATCAAAAAATAAATTAGCAAAGGGCTCCTTTCAACTTTTCTGAAAATGTAAAGTTATTTCAAAATAAAAGATTTTTTAAGGGCCAAAAAAATAAGTAAATTACCGAGAGAATTTCGGGGGGTTCTTAGTACCATGAGGCAGCGACTGAGAGTAGGACAGGGGTCACTTTAGATGTTCCAGAAGACGTGCCCGAATAAGTGACAGTTGTGCTGAGAAATGAAAGATAAGGGGGCAGCTGCACAAAGACCTGGGAAGGCACTGCCCAGAAGGGATGGCAAGTCCTTGAGGTGAGAGTGGGCTTAGACCAAGAAACCTGAAGACTGGTGTGGCTGGAGCTTAATGAGTGGTCGGCAGAGGTCAGGAAGAGAGTGGGGGCTGAAGGTTGTTGGACTTGTTATAGAGCATGGTTAGGAGCTTGAATTTCATCCCACTTGGTGCAGGAAGCCATTAAAGTGTTTAGAGCAGTGACAGGATCTCATTCAGTCTTTAAAAAACAATTGCTGTGAGCAACATGGGCTGTATCAGATGAGAGCAGAAACTGGAAGTCCAGTTAAAAGGATTTCCCAGTAGTTTGGGCAAGAGATGATGTTGGCTTGGAGGCAAGGGCGATGGAGAAAGGTGGACTGATTTAAATGCAAGGTCAACAGAACTTGCTGATGGATTGGATATAGTGGTTTAGAAAAAAGGCAATCAAGGATGACTTAGGTTTTTGGCTTAAGCAATTATTGAGGTGAAGACTGAAGCAAGAACATTTTAGAGAGAGAAATTGAGTTTGGTTTTGCAAGGATTAAATTTGAGATGTCTGGAAAAGAGAAGGAGCCAGAAAAAATGATTAAGTGGTCCCTGGGGTAGGAGCAAAACCAAGACAGCATAGAGTCATGGAAACTATGAGAAGAGAGTGTTTCGAGAGGAAGGAGGAGGAACCCAGTGGAAGACTGCTGAGAAGTAGAGTGAGATAAGGCCAGAGTCACTGGATTTGACAATATGGAAGTCACTGGAGGCGGGAAGACTTGATTGGAGTAGATGGAGAAGAGGATGGGAGATGAGGAAGAGGAGATAGTGAGTATAGATAACTCTTTGAAGCTTAGTCGTCAATAGGGCAGTAACCAACCAGAACAAAGGACCAAACAATATCTTTTATTTGGTCTGTTTTTAAATTGGAGTATATCAAAGCATGTTTGCATGGTGATGAAACACTGTAGCAGGGAGGAGGGAATTAATGCCCAAGAGAGAAAGGATAGTTAGAAGGCAAAGTCCTTGACAGCCATAGGGCCAGGATTAATATCATAAATGGAATTATTGTTCTTCAATAGGAGCCAGAAACATGGCCATCAAAATAGGAGACAAGGCTGAGAACATGGATATAAGTTCTGGATGGTAACTCATAGTGGCCAGACTGAGGGAGTTCCCGTTTGTTTACATTAATTTCCTCAATGAAATTATCAGGTGAGGTTATCAGCTAGGAAGGGATGGGTATTGATGTTTTATCGAGGGAGGATGTGAAAGAATTATGTTGGAGAGTGAGAAAGCCAACATACCACTGAGGTACAAGTGGTAGGATTATCTGGTAGCATCAGGTCCTTTTGAGATTCATGGTCATGAAATAAAGTGAGATCAGTTTCATAGTGGTTTGGTTTTCCCCAGAGCGTTTAGCTACGCAGAACTACATAGGCACATCATTCAGTTTAGCCAGCGGGGCATTTTTTTAGGTCAGTGCTTCAAGGGGAGAGAGAAGCGAAAGAGTTCCGGATGTTTGCAAGTTAGATGATACATCATGGGTGTAGGTGGGGAATTAGACAACAGAAGGGCTGGAAGAATTGATGGGATTGATGGGTGGTTAAGGTGGTAGACTCAAGGGATGGGAGGCCTGTACAAGGAGTCAGGAAATTGTCAGAGCAGAGTTCAGGAGTAAGTGAGCAGGAAAGATAACATGTGGTCAGAGTAGGATGCCGGAAGTGGAGATTTTGGAAATCAGTGAGGTCAAGGGTATGATGGTGACAGTGGGTGGCTGAGCTGGAACAGAGTAAAAAATTGTTGGAAGAGAAAAGGTCAAGGGGCTCAGAGGCCAGGATAACATCCCGAGGGATGTTGAAGTTCCAAAAATGATGATGAGAATAGAAATGGGGAGGAAGACAGTGAGTCAATCCTAATTTATTTGATCAAAATACCCAGATTCTTAGGTGCTAAAATTAAACACGTTAACAGAGAAGAATACCAAACATATATTTATATACATAATCAGTATGAAAGGTGGGGGCTAGCCACTCACGTTCATGTGGTGCTTTGAGGGCATAAATGGTGGCCCACTCACCACGATTAAAACCCAATGCTCTTTCTGTCAGCAGATGCTGCTGCTGCCACTTCGGCGATGGTGTCCGCATCTGCCCCTTCGGTGTACAGTGTGCAAGCCCTCTCTCTCCTGGCAGAGGTAAACACACAGCTGACTTGTCACCCCTTATGGAAGTTACTGCCGTCCTGATTCTTTGCAAAGGTGGTCCATTCTCAGGTGCCAGTGAGCTCGTCAGTCAGTCTTGGCCTCGAGCTGCACCATGGAGTTCTCTTGTTAGGTTCCACCTTCACAACTAAATTTCTTCTTGTCACTTGCTTCAGAAGGTTTCTGTTATCTTGCGATCCCGTTCTTTTAGGTTCTGGCATCTCTCCTGGACATGGTTTATCGAAGCGATGAGAAAGAGAAAGCGGTGCCATTGGTCTCTCGCCTGCTCTATTACGTTTTTCCTTACTTACGCAATCACAGGTAATGTTGTGTCCTCCACGTATCCCACCCAAATGTAGAAAAATAGGTGATGGGAGAGCATCAAGTGGTCTTCACTGGACAGTCTCTGACCTTGACCCCTTTTACTTTACTCCCCCATTTAGCGCCTACAACGCTCCCAGTTTCCGGGCTGGCGCTCAGCTGCTGAGCTCTCTGAGTGGCTATGCCTACACAAAACGAGCCTGGAAGAAAGAAGTCCTGGAATTATTCTTGGACCCTGCTTTCTTTCAGATGGACACTTCTTGTGTGCAGTAAGAAATGCTGTCCTGATAAAAACGTGCTCTGAATCTTCAAGAGGAAAAGTGTTTCAGTTTACATAATTAATTCTCATACGTGAAGTGGGATCAGAGATAGCATCAACCCAAATCATAGGGCGTCACTGTCACAAGCTCATATGTTAAGTGTGTATTCATGGGAGACGAATTAAGTCTTTTGAAAATACAAAGGCACCTTTTTCACAAAAAGAATTTCAGGGGGCTGGCTCAGTGGCATAGTACTTAGGTTCACGCACTCTACTTCAGCGACCCAGGTTCATGGATTCGGATCCTGGGCACAGACCTACACCACTCACCAAGCCATGCTATGGCAATGTCCCACATACAAAATAGAGGAAGACTGGCAAGAGATATTAGCTCAGTGCTAATCTTCCTCACCAAAAAAAAAAGAAGAAGAAGAAGAATTTCAATTAAAAGAGCATATTATTCCTAAAGAACATAATAGGGGCTTCCAGTGGTACTTGGTCTAGTAATTCTTATCCTGACCAATGTTAAGATGACAGAGCCTGCTGGTGATACTGCAGTGTTCCTATCCCATGTCTCAGCTTACGCTCCATGAGTTCTTACTGAGGCCTTGCAGCTGGCCAGGCTCTGCGCTGGCGGCAGAGATCCGTTGTGATACAGCTGGGAGATCAACTTCCTATGCCTTTTTCTTGGAGGTCAACAAAACCACTCCATGACTCCCCCCCGGGCTTGGCTAATGTGTCTTTATTAATGGTAGGGATAGAGGGTAGAGATTGGTCAGCTTTTTTGTATGGCCTGAAAGTTAGCCCAACCACCACCAGAGCCCTGTGGCTCTCACCCTGTAATTCTTTTGCTCTCTGGGGGAGCCCGTTTGAAAACTAGTGGTCTTTGTCTTCACTACCCACCATTTCTTCCCATCAACACAAGTATATGAATATCATCCTGTGCGCACATATTCAAGGGCAACCCTTGAAAATGCCAAAGTACTTTGACGACTTATATTTTCTTTTATTGTAAGCTGGGAAGTATTCATTATTTCCCATGTTATTCATTCCAGTATTCATTTCCCGCGTTAAGGTTGTAAATGAGAAGCTTTTGCTTAGCTTTCTCGTATATGAAAACTATTCTTTTCACTAACTTCTTTTCAGAAAGCAATTTTTAATAGATCCTAAAGGGGCATGTTCTTTTTTGAGGCTTTTAAGTATACTGTCATCCTTTGCATATTTGATTAATTTTGGTTTTTTTAATATCCAGTTGGAAGTCCATTATTGACCATCTTCTGACTCATGAGAAAACAATGTTTAAAGATTTAATGAGTAAGTTCTGTGTTACCTGTACATAAGTCACACTTTCCAGGACCAATGCCATCATAATCAGCTCTTAGCACATATTTCAGAACCCTGCTCAAGCCTTTTCTGGTGCCATCTAAGCCACAAACTAACGTGATGTGCACAAGGTCGGGACAAAATGAATGAGCCCTTCAGTTCTGATCTATTGACAAGAATGCCTTAACAGCCTTTCCTACAGCTTTATAGTGGAGAAATACTTTTGAAACCAGTGATAAGTTTACCATAATTTATTAGGAGTACTTTTGTACAGCTCATATCCTCTTCTAATACCCTATCGTTAAGTATCACTAAATAATAAGTATTTTTACAAATAAATATGAATAATAACCATATGCCCTCACTTAATAAAGGCGATGCTTTTTCACCAGGGAAGATGGGAGTTACACTAGTATGAATTTTCTGTCACTTACCTCTAAGTGTCGTTTTCTCACGAAGTGAAACTTATTTGCTGTATTTATTCTAGACATGCAGAGCAGTTCTTTAAAACTGTTCTCAAGTTCTGAGCAGAAAGCCATGCTGCTAAAGCGCCAGGCTTTTGCTGTCTTCAGTGGAGAACTTGATCAATACCACCTTTACCTCCCTCTGATCCAAGGTAAGGCCACCTCCCTCACTCCCAGCCCATCCCCACACACAGGCGGACCCACGCCTGGCTGAGATGGGCTGCTGCTGGAGGGGCCCACAGCATGTTTGGCAGAATAGTCAAGTGTTAAAATGAGTGCTCAGCAGGAGTGATCGGAGAAGAAGCTGGAAAGTTCTATGTCAGTAAACCTGAAACTTTATTTTAAAAATCAATTCTTATAATGCTATTAATTTTTATTAGGTAGTTTTTAAAAGTCTGACAGTACTTTCGCAGCAGTCTTCTGCTAGATTCTTCCTATAGTCAAGATACTTCGAATTTACAATACTAACTGAGGCCAGGGAAGGAGCAAGATTTTGGAGAAGTACCTAATTTTCCCATAACAGTTTTTTCTCTTCTTTGTACTCACTATATCATCTGTTTCAAAAATGAATTATTGTGGATATTATACATGATTTTGAAGGGTTTTTTCCCTCCTTATAAAATGTTGAAGCTGCAAAGCGGACATTCTGTTTTTAATTTGCCCTCCTACAAGATAGAAAAGAGTTCTCAAATAGGAATGTGTTTTCCTTAAGACTCATAGCCTCAATGGGATCAAATAAAATTAATACAATTCTCAAAGGATTTTTTGTTTAATATTATGAAGGTGAGTTTAACAAACAATTCTACAAATATTAGACTTATGGTGTAAAATTTTTTTGGAGGGTATCAGGTTTATTAAGGTATAGTTTATATACAGTAAGGGTAACCCTTTTGGTTATGCAGTTCTGTGGATTTTAATAAATACATATAGTCCTGTAACCACACCACAGTTAAGGTAGAGAACATTTCCATCACCCCAGAAAGTTTCCTCATGCCCCTTAGAAATCATCCCCTCCCCTTACCCCAGCCCCTGGCAGCCACCAATCTGCTTTCTGTTCATATAGTTTTGACTTTTCCAGAATGTCATATAAATGAGATTAGATAGTGTGTAACCTTTGAGTCTGGCTTCTTTGACTTGGCATAATATATTTGAGAGTCATCTGTTTTATTGTATTTATCAGTAGCTGATTCCTTTTCATTTGCTGAATAGTATTCCATTCTGTGGTTTGTTTACCCATTCACCAATGGAAGGGCATTTGGGTTGTTTCCAGGTAGAATTATGATATAAATCTCTTACTCTGCCCTTTTAAAAAAATTTTTGGTAAACATCTGTCAGCTCACAAAGCATGTGCTTCTTCTCATCTTGATGACTCTTGATATCAGTACTATTTGTCAGTCCACTTCCCTGCTTGTTTAACTATTTGAGAGGTCTTATTGTTTCAGTTCGAAACAGTAACAGATTTCACAATTATTAATTGTGACAATATTTTATAGTTACAGTATAAAATACCTTTATCCTTCAGCTGACAATTTCAACATGTACAGCACATAAGATTTTCACATCATAATATCTTGAGTACTTCAGATATGTGAAAGCAGATATTCAGATATTGACAAATACAAGTAGCATGCCTTTCTTGAATTATTCATAAGAGGTTGATTCAATCAGATGACGACCAGGAATGCCAGGAAAGGCGATGGCAGCCCTCCAAAGACTTCGGCTGAATGCAGGCAAAGCTGAACTCTGTTGCATCCCTGCACAATCGGGAGAGGAGAAAGAACAACTAGAGGGGTCGTGTTTCCTCCAGCTCGTGCGCAGCATCCGTGACAGTGCTTTATGCGCCTGGCCACTGGACGGTGGTCTGAAGCACACTTTCTCGGTAGAGGCAAGAGGAGGAAAATAAAAAGGAGAGCATGTTGAGCAGTGTACCCAGCTATCCTTTCAGTGCCTTCTTACCCTGAGAGCAAATACTTGTTCCTTCTCTTTCATCTCCCATCACTCACTCCCCTAAAATTTGAGCTGAGGCCCAAAAAAGCTAAAGAGACAGTATTAGGTGTGTAGAACAGGAAAAGAAGAGACAACAGCCTTTCTCAAACAGTGGTGTGGAGAATTTGACATTGCAGGATTTAAACATCCAACAATTCTGAGAAACCATGCCTCTGAGAGGGAGAGAGAAGTAGGGGCAATATAATACTCTATACGTTATTTATATTGTATATATAATATATATTTGTATATAAAATAAAGTCAGCATAGTGCTGACTTAAATAGGAGATGGGTTTTGTGCTCTTAGGGAAGGAGGAATTTCTCTAAATAAGTATCCTCCATTTGGATAGCTCGAGTGCTGTATTTCTAAAAATACTATGTTAGAAAAATAAACATTTTACCCCCTTTAATTTTTTATTAACTGACAGTTTCCTCTATCTTGTCATTGTCCCCAGGACTGTTGATAAGCCAAACCTCCATGAGGTCCTGTGATGATAGAATTCAGAGTGTTCTCTGACACAGTCTTGGGACACTTGACTGGTCCCTGTGTGGCAGTGATGCCCAAGTGAGGGGAGTAGATGCTTCCAGAAGCTTCTAGGTTGCACACCATGGTAAATAGTTGAGGCCTAATAAGAGGCAGGAATAGGGAATTTCTAGTGTTTCTCTTTTGGGATACCTTCTGGGTCCTTTTTCCTTGATTTATAGCACCATCAAGTAGCACTAAAAGAGGTCGATGTGCACAGGGTGGGGAACTGAGCAGCTCCATGCGTCTTGGCTCAAAGTGACGTAAATTTTACATTGATCGTGTCAACTTAAAAAGCAAATTCGCCAGTAATTTTACCCTTAAACCAAGTTTATTCAGGAATAGCCAAAAGAATTGCAATTTGGTATGTGCACGCTATGGGGAACCGAGGGCAAATCTGGAGACAAGGGAAAGAGCAAAAGGAGGAACAGGGAGGGGCTGTTCTAAACGAAAGTCCATTGGAACAAAGTAACAGTTCAGGGTAGCAACAGCTTCTCATTGGCTGAGCTGTGGGCTCTCATTGGCTGGGCTGTTGCTGGGTGTTTAGAGAAATCTTCCTTCAGCATTATTTGGGGTAACTAACAATGTACAATAGGGCGTGAGAGCTCCCCCTACTGGCCTTCCTGACTCTGATTTAGTTGAGTTTTCATTTGACAATCACAGAAGAACTGGTAAATAAGCCCAAAGCAATTATTTAAAATTTTAAAAAATGACAAAATGCTGTTTGTCTAAAATGAGAGGGGGATAGGCATCACCCCCCAACAGAGGCCCCTGACTCTGGGATCAGAAAGATCTAGAGGCAACACTCTATTCCCTTTAAGCCCAATGAGTATGGCTCATCCTAGGTCCATTGGGGTACTGTCCATCTTTTAAGTCTTTCTTATTGTCCATTAGCTCTATTTTTACACCAGGATACTGATGCTCAGAGAGATTAGCACCTGCCTAAAGTTGTGTTGCCGCTAACTGGCAAAACCTGGAGTGAAATCTGAGCCCTTTGGCTCCCAACAATAGGCCATGTTCTTTAGTGGGTGTCCTTTGAGGTAGGTGGAGTCAGGGCGCTACTCCTGTTTCACAGATGGGAAATGAGGACTCAGCAAGATTAAGTGGCCAGCCTAAACGAGGCACTGCAACTTGTAACAGTAGTACAAGGATTCTGGCCCAGGCTTCCTCCAGCTCTCTGCTCATAAGGACTCCTTAAGCTTGTAAGGTTTATCACTCAGCTAAGAAAGGAATATTAGACGTTGAAAAAAAAATTAGGGATTCTGAAATAGATCATCTTGGCTGAAGAAAAATCTCATGAATTTAGTTTTTATTGGGAGCTGCAATATGAAATATGCCTTATGTGTACAAACCACTTTTAATACTTTATATTTTGAAATAGACTGACTCATGAGAAGTTGCACAAATAGTGCCGAGTGTTCCTGTGTACTTTCAGTCCAGCTTCCCCTGGGATAACATCTCCCATAAGCATAGTCCATTATCAAAACCAGGAAATCGACATTGGAATGTTACCATAACTCAACTAGAGAGTTTTTCAGATTTCACCAGTTTTTACATGCACTCTTTTTTGTGTATGTTTGTGTGTGTGTTTAGTTGTATGAAAGTATCACATACACAAATTCTTGTAGCCAGCACCACAACCACGATACAGAACTTTTCCATCACCACGAAGCAACTCCCTCATGTCACCGCCTTTATAGTCACACCCTCCACCCAACCCTGACCCCCGGAAACCACTGCTCTGTTCTCCATCAGTTCAATTTTGTCACTTTGAGAATGTTATGTAAATGGAGTCATACAGCTTTTGAGAGTAGCTTTTTACATTTAGTGTAATGCCTTTGCGATCCATCCAAAGGCAAGTGGGGTACATCCATGGGTGTATCAAGAGTTTGATCCTTTTTAATGAGTAATAATATTCCATTTTATGGATGTACCGCAGTTCATTTATCCATTTACCTAAAGGACATTTGGGTTGTTTCCAGTTTCTGGTTATTACAAATAAAGCCTCTGATAAACACTCGTGTACAGAGTTTTGTGCTGACTTAAGTTGTCATTTCTCTAGGATGAATACACAAGGGTATGATTACTGGATCCTATGGTAAATGTACATTTAGCTGTGTAAAAAACTGCCCAGTGGTTTTCCAGAATGGGTGTCCCATTATGCATTCCCATTTAAATGGTAATTCGAATGTCGTTATCCTTCTGATGTCTCTGAGGTCTGTAGGCATATCCCCTCTTTCATTCCTGATATTGATTAACTTGTGCCTTGTTCTGTTTCTTTGTCAGTCTTGCTAGAGGTTTATCAACTTTATTGTTCTCTTCAAATAACCAGCTTTTAGTTTGACTGATTTTTCTCTATTGTTTTTTGTTTTCAATTTTATTTATTTCTGCTATTTATTATTTTGTATTTGCTTTGGGTTTATTTTGTTCTTTTTCTAGTCTCTTCAGGTGGAGGCTTAGATTATAGATTTGAACCCTTTCTTCTTTTCTAATGTAAGCATTTAGTGCTATAAATTTCCCTCTCAGCAATACTTTAACTGTATCCCACAAAATCTGACATGACGTACTTTTACTTTTGTTCATTTCTTTGTATTTGGTTTTATTTCCTTTGAGACTTCCTCTTCAGCCCATATCTTATTTAGGAGTTTGTTACTTTCCAAGTGTTTGTGGGATTTTCCTCCTATCTTTCTGTTATCAATTTCTAGTTTGAGTCCATTATGGTCAGAGAACATTCTTTGTAGTGTGTAAATCTGTTGAAGTTTGTTTTATGATCCATGATATAGTGTATCTTGGTGAATGTTCCATGAACACTTAATGAATATGTATTCTGCTACTGTTGTTGAGTGGAGTGTTCTATAAATGTTGATTAGCATCTGTTAGTTGATATTGCTCGATTCTTCTCTATCCTTTCTGACTTTTTTCCTGGGCATTCTATCAGTTATGGGGTAAGGATGTTGAAGTTCCCAGCTGTAATTGTCAGTGCCTATTCTCCTTTGAGTTCTGGCAGTTCTTACTTCATGTGTTTTACACCTTTGTTGTTTGGTGCGTACACATTTAAGATTGTTGTATCTTCTTCTTGAATTGCCCTTTTTACCACTAGGTAATGTTCCTCTTTGCCCGTGGTACTTTTCTTTGCTCTGAGTTCTATTTTGTTTACTACTAAGAGAACCACTGCAGCTTCCTTTGGGTAATGTCTGTGTAGTATATCTTCTTCCATCCTTTTACCTTTAACTTAACTATATCCTTATATTTGAAGTGAGTTTTGTGTAAGATAGCATATAATTGGGTCATTTTCTTTTAATTCATTCTACCAATCTCTCTCTCTTAATTGATGTGTGTAGACAATGTATATTTAATGTAATTATTGGCATGTTAGGATTGACTATGCCATTTAATTTATTTTCTGTTTGTTCCTTGTTTTTCATTCCTCTGTTTCCCCTTTTCTATTTTCCTGAGGTTACTTGAACATTTTTTTTAGTATTCTATTTTGATGTAACACATTTAAAGTGTTTTTTGAGTATGTCTCTTGATAGAGCTTTTTGTAGTGGTTACTCAGGGACAGCAGTATATGTAAACTATACATATTTACATGGTCTACTAGTATCAGCATTTACAGTGCTTCTGTCTTCTCTCGTGTGATATAGTTGTTTGAAATATTACCTTTACATACACTGGGAACCACACAGTGGTCCACTTTTTGCTTTCAACTGACCAACATAATTTAAAAACTCAAGAGGAAAGAATATTATTTTTACTTATGTATTTATTCTTTGAATTGCTCTTTTTATCAGCCCTGGTGTTCTCTGTTTCCTACCATTATCGTTTTTCTGTCTGAAGAACATCATTTAGCCATTCTTTAGTGCAGATCTGCTGGCAGCAAGTTTTCTTAGTGTTCCTTCATTGAGACGTTTTATTTCACCTTCATTCTTTTCAGTTTGGTTTTGGTTTTTTTCCTTCATTCTGGAAGGATGTTTTCATTGGAAGTAGGACTCTGGGTTGAAGTTCCTTTCCTTCCGCCCTTGAGAAATGTGCCACTCCTTTCTGATGAGAATCTGCTGTCATTCGAACCATTGTTGCCTTTTAGGAAATGTGTCATTTCTCTCTGACTGCTATCAAGATTTTTTCCTTTGTCTCTAGTTTTCAGAACTTTGATTGTGTGACTGCATTTGGATTTCTTTGGGTTTATGTTTTTCGAAGGTCACTCAGCTTTTTGTATCTGTAGATTTATGTCTTTCACCAAATTTGGAAAGTTTTCAGTCATTATTTCTTCAAATATTTTTCCAACCTATACTCTTTTTTCCTCTCCTCCTGGGACTCTAATGACACAAATATTAGATCTTTTGTTGTCCCAGTGGTCTCTGAGACTCTGTTCATTTTTTTTCTGATCTTTTTTCTCTTGTGTGTTCAGTTTCAATACTTTCTATTCATTCTGTCTTCAGCGTCCCTCTTTCCTCTGTGATCTCCATTCTGCTGTTGAGCTCATCAGTGAGCATTTCTACTTCAATGATTGTATTTTGTGGTTCTAAAATTTCCATTTGGCTCTTTTTTGTATCTTCTGTTTCTTTGTTGAGACTTTCTATTTTTTGTTTGTTTCAAGCGTCCATAGCTGATTGTTGTGGTATTTTTAGGCAGCAGCTTTAAAATACTTTTCTAATAATTCCACCCTCCATATTATCCCCCACTTGGTGTCTTTTGGTTATCTTTTCTCATTCAAGTTGAGACTTTTGGCATTCCAGGTTGCGGTCTTCTCAAATGCCCAGGCCAGAATAAAATGAAAAATAAAAAACTTCTGGGGAACTCACCTCCAGGTCTTTCCTTAAGTTCCAAGGTTCCTAGCCAGTATAGCCTTCTTTTCATCCTCTTTCAGTTTTCTGATAGTTGGTTTATGTATTTTGTTCAAAGTTTGTTTGTTTTTATTACAGTTAGGTAAATAGGATGTAAGATACTTAACTCCATCTGTGCAGAACCAGAAGCACAAAACACTCTTTAAAAATGCCAGCTTGGGGGCTGGCCCCGTGGCCAAGTGGTTGGGTTTGTGCGCTCCACTGCAGGCGGCCCAGAATTTCGTTGGTTCGGGTCCTGGGCGCGGACGGGCCACTGCTTGTCGGGCCACGCTGGGGCAGCGTCCCACATGCCACGGCTGGAGGGGCCCACAATGAAGAATATACAGCTGTGTGCCGGGGGGCTTTGGGGAGAAAAAGGAAAAAATAAAAAAAAAATGCCAGCTTGTTTTTCAAGTGTCTAAGCTATGCCTGCTCCTTCATTTGATCAGAGCACTTTTAAAGGCAAGAAGTAAAAACCTACTCAGGCTAGCCCAAATAAAGAGAAGTTTATTAATAATGTGCTGCAGCAAATCTTAACTGGCATGACTGCAGTTCAGCTGTTTGCTGTAGCAGTTTGTTATGTTCCTAAGAAGCCTTAAATTATGGGGAAAGTCACATTCTACAAACAGTTATTTCAGTGGAGCAGTGAGGAAGACTGTTAGGGACTAGAGAGTTTAACTCACAACTTTTTTTCTTGCAAGACTTAAAGTTTTTATCATGGCCATCAAATCTAAACTTTACTGAATAAATCTATTTTATTCACTCACTCCATTTCCCACTCCTCACCCCAAAATATGATGTCATCTGCCAGCCAGTCTGTATGATCTTCTGGTTCCATCACTCACCAAGGACTGTCTGTGGTTTCTGTGTCTCATGTTTTGTATCCATAGGAGAAAATTTAAATGGTTATTGATCATCCAGTGGATTTTGGGCTTGAGTCAAAGTTCATGCCTCTCTACTCAGCTGTGGCAGAGGAATGAGAGCCACTTGATTCACCTCCTTTAGCAAAGACCATGAGCTGCTGCCCTTCACAAAGAGGAGGGCAGGGCGTAAACCAGGGGCACAAAACCGTTCTCCCAACACCCATTTCTCATACTGGGTTCTTATCAAGTGTCAATTACTATTGTATTTTTCTTCTTTGTCTAATGAGAAACCCCAAACTGCGTATTTGTGTGACATCTTTAAACTCTTCTTTCCTTAGAACGCCTGACAGACAATCTCAGAGTTGGACAGACACCCATAGCTGCTGCTCAGATGTTTCTTTTTTTCAGAGTTTTGCTGCTAAGAATATCTGCCCAACATTTGACTTCATTGTGGCCAATAATGGTCTCTGAATTAGTAAGTACAAATATTTTACTCTTGATAGCAAATTTGGAGCTTTTTACATGCTTTTTTGGGAATAATATACTATTTTATATGTATCTAATTTTTCAAATTAAAATATAGTTGACATGTATCTAATTTTATCAGCAAAATTTTCAATCAAGTTGATAGCTCTTGGTTAAAAAGAGAATATTTTATCTTACCCTATAATCATATTTGATCTCTCAACTGTCAGTTATTCCAACTAATTTGTATTGTTTTATATTACTTTCTATTTTTTTAAACTGGTTTTTTTTCCAGTTTTATTGAGATATAGTTGACATACAGCAGTGTATAAGTTTGAGGTGTAGAACATAATGATGTGACTTACATATATCGTGAAATGATGATGACAATAAGTTTAGTTAACATTCATCATCTCATATAGACAAGAAAAGAAAGAAAATATTTTTTTCCTGTGATAAGAACTCTTAGGATTTACTCTCTTAACAACTTTCATATATACCATGCAGCAATGTTAACCATGTTCATCGTGTTGTACGTTACATTGCTAGTACTTATTTACCTTATAACTTGAGGTTTGTACCTTTTGACCATCTTCCTCCAATTCCCCGTCTCCCAACCTTCCACCTTTCCACAGATGTGCTCTATGAGTTTGGTCATTTTTTTTTTTTTTTTTTTAGATTTCACGTATAAGTGAGATCATACAGTATTTGTCTTTCTCTGACTTATTTCACTGAGCATAATGCCCTCAGGGTCCATCCATGTTGTCACAAATGGCAGAATTTCCTTCTTTTTTATGGCTGAATAATATTTTCTTGTGTACATATACAACATTTTCTTTATCCACTCATCTGTTGATGGCAGTTACGTCTTTGCTATTGTAAATAATGCTGCTGTGAACATGGGGGTGCAGATATCGCTTCGACATGGTGTTTTCATTTCCTTTGGATATATTCCCAGAAGTGGGATTGCTGGATTATATGGTAGTTCTATTTTTACTTTTTTGAGGAACCTCCATAGTTTTCCATAGTAGCTATACCAGTTTATAATCTGACCAACAGTGAACAAGGGTTCCCCTTCCTCCACATCCTGGCCAGTGCTTGTTATCTCTTGTTGTTTTGATGCTAATCAGTCTAACAGGTGGGAAGTTATATATCATTGTGGTTTTGATTTGCGTTTCCATGATGATGGTGATATTGAGCATCTTTTCATGTACCTGTTGGCCATTCCTATATCTTCTTTGGGAAAATGTCTATTCAGGTCCTTTGCCCATATTTTAAGTGGATTGTTTGCTGTTTTGCTATTGTGTGGTATGAGTTCTTTATATATTTGGATATTATCCCCTTATCAGATATTTGGTTTGCAAATATTTTTTCACATTCCGTAGGTTGTCTTTTCATTTTCTTGATTGTTTCTCTTGCTTTATTTGCTATTTTTTATGGACATGTAAATTTTAAACGTTGAGTTTACTCTCTCAAATAGTAACTTGAATTCGTGTTTTCTTTTTAAGATTCAGGCATTCATACAGCTTGAAGAAGATCTGAAAGAGGATGATGAATCATTGAGGTAAGTAGTGCAAGGGTCTGTGCACATATGTGAAGGCTAATGGACATCACTTTATGATGTAGGGTTATCTAACGTTAAGTACTGTTTTCTTTTTTGTGTGTGTGAGGAAGATTGGCCCTGAGCTAACAACATCTGCTGCTAATCTGCCTATTTTCGCTCGAGGAAGATTGTTGCTGAGCTAACATCTGCGCCAATCTTCCTCTGTTGTATGTGGGACGCTGCCACAGCATGGCTTGACAAGCAATGCTAGGTCTGCGCCCAGGATTCAAACCTGTGAACCCCAGGCTGCCGAAGCAGAGCACGTGAACTTAACCACTACACAACTGGGTTGGCCCCTAAGTACTGTTTTCTTGAAGTACTTGTGAAGGGACCAGCTGTTTTGACCATTTCTTAAAAGGAAAAATCTTCTTATGGACATTGCATAGACAACTGGACTACAGCAGATGTGAATGAATTTATAACAAGGTTTTCTTTGCAAATTTATAGAAACAGCAACAAAATAAACAGAGTAAAAGTTTCAGTCGCTGTTGGAAATGGGCCCTCAGTGTGGGAGATACCCCAGAGTGAACTCGTCTTGTATTTATCAGCTTGCAAATTCTTGGACACAGCACTTTCTTTTCCGCCTGACAAGATGCCGTTATTTCAAATGTAAGTCAGATAAGACCTTGTGTCCTCTTTGAAGTAGGTGACTTTTCTTTCCTCATAAGCACTCTCACTTGTTCTTTCCCATGCAGTATATGGGTTCCTAGTGGCCGATGAGCCTGCTCAGACTACCAAGTTTCAGATTACTTGCAGCATCTGTGGTTTTGTGAATTTGGCTCATGGTAGTGTTTACGAATGGGTTTCGGGGGGAGGTGGGGCGGGGTTAGGTGGGTTTTGCTACTAAATGTTTGTAAAACAAGAGGCACCCGCTGGTGGTCCTCACTGCATCTGTGTAGATTTTTTTGTCCATTTGTTTTTAATTAAATAAATGGATCATGCTGCCTCCAATTCACTTTGCCCCTGTTGGCTTACATTTCCTTTGGGCTTAACACAGCTGCTCATACGTTTCGTCTCATGCCTGGCCCCAGATGCCACTTCTTCTCTGTCCCATCCCCCTAAAGAGAGTAATCATGTAGAAATGTTTGTGGTTAAAAAGCGAGTTCTCTTTAACTGCACGTTACTAAGTGAAAGAAGCCAATCTGAAAAGGCTGCCTACTTTATGATCCCAACTATGTGACATTCTGGAAAAGGCAGAACTCTGGAGACAGGAAAAAGGCCAGTGGTTGCCAGGGCTTAGGGGAGAAGGAGACAGAACACAGGATTTTTAAGGCAGTGAAACTGCTCCATACAATACTATAATGATGGATGCGTGTCATTATACAGTTGTCCAAACCCATAGAATGCACAGCACCTAGACTGAGCCCTAAGGTAAGCCGTGGACTCTGGGTGACAATGATGTAACAAATGTGCCACTCTGGTGGGACGTGTTGAAGTCGGGCAGGCTGTGCCTCGCAGAGGCGGACAGGGAATATGTGGGGAACCTCTCTACCTTCTGCTCAGTTTTGCTGTGAACCTAAAACTGCTCTAAAAAGAAAGTGTCTTTTTTAAATGGGTTCTGATGTTCATGAATATGCACAGCAACGTTATTTATAATAGACAAAAAGTGGAGAAAACTTAAATGTCCTTTAATTGACGAATGAATAAATAACATGCTATATCCATACAATGAAATATTCAGCAATAAAAAGAAATGAAGTGCTGTCACATTCTACAGTGTGGATGAACCTTGATAACATTATGTTAAGTGAAAGAAACCAGTATCAAAGGACCACATATTCTGTTTATATGAAATTTCCAGAATAAGTAAGTCTGTGGAGACAGAAAATAGATTAGTGGTTGCCTAGATCAAGGGGGTATAAGGGATGAGGGGTGATAGCTAAAGGGAGCAGGGATTCTTTTTGGGGTAATGCCTATCCTAAAATTGATTGTGGTGATGGATGTACAGTTCTGTGACTATACTAAAAGCCATTGAATTGTATGCTTTAAATGGGTGAATTGTGTGGTATGTGAATTATATCTCAATAAGACTGTTTAAAAATCTGTTTTATGTGGGCTCTGACCTGGCATGCCTGACCTCGGATTTTTTCCTCCAGTTACAGGTGGGCATTTGTCCCAGAAGTGGACACAGAGGGCCCTGCCCTCCCGTCAGATCTAGAGGAGAATCACCAAGAATGCAAGCCCCACACTGTTAGGATTCTAGAACTTCTGAAATTAAAATATGGGGTAAATGTTTTCCTTTTTAAAATTTCTCTTCCTGGCAGAGGGGAGAGGGGTGAGCAGTAAGTGAAGTACTGCGTATGCCACTTGATTTCATGACTTTAATAGCTTTCAAGATCTCTCTTCTGTGAGTGTTAAAACTTGGAGATGGTTATAAATTCCATCCTTACCTTGTCATTTATATGTCACTTTCTCATCCCAGTTGCTACGAGGTGAAGCTTCCTGGACAGCACAGTCACAGAGAAGCAGTCTTACCCCTGAGTCCCTTCGTTGTTTGGGGGAAGGGCCTGCAGTGGGAGTGGGCTCAGGGTGAAGTCCTGGTGGAAGATGTCAACTGAGGATCTGGAATTTGAGTTTATGCTGCTGTCCTCAGTGCTGACGATGAATTTTCATGAAGAACCCATCTCTTAGGTTTAGCCATCTGCACATGCTGCCCTTGCCTCTCTAACCCTCAGCGAAGCCACATCATTTTTCTGGGGTTTTTTGCAGGAAATCAGCAGCTCTGATGAGATCGCCATGAAGAGTGAATTCCCTCTTCTGCGCCAACATTCTCTTTCCAGCATGAGGCAGTTGATGCCATTCTTCAGGACTCTAAATTGTGCTTTTAAAACCCAAGGCAAACTGCCTGCTGACACTCAGGGACCTCCAGCCTTAGAGTTTCCTGTCCCAGATAGCCCAAGGGTCTTCAAACAACTGGAAGAATGTGTTGAATATGACTTTCTGGAACATCTGGAATGTTAACCTTGGAAGACAGAATTTGTTTAATCCATTTACTGATACTTCAGGCTAAAACCAGGATATATTCTCAAGAAGAAAGGATCCAGGAGCGTGCTTTTAAACAAGTCTATTTCAATTCTGAAAGTAGATTTCACATAATTTTCTGTTGGACAACAAAACACACTTCCCTAAATGCCTTGTAATATATTTGGATCTGATTGTTTCTTCCTTGACTTATGTAAAGAAAATAAAATTAATATATCATCTAAAGGTAGCACAAAATTTGTACCATGAAGTAAAGTTTGAAAATGCCAATATATGGGTCTGTCTCTCTATTTCTCTAAAAGTTTAAACTCGTCGAATATCATTTTCAACCTTTTACACATAGTCCTTTAAAGCATTTATTTTGGTACTGCATTTTAAAACTAAAATATATTATTTCCTGAGAATAGTAGTTGCCCACTGCCATTGACTCTGCAGCAGAGGCGAGCACTTGAAGAAATCTCAGTGTGTTTAACTCTTGCCCATTAAACTCAGGTGTTCGCACTGCACAGCTGCCTAAGAAGTATGTGGTTTTCAAAACTCGGACAGCTGTAACCTGAGTTACGTACCACGAGTACCCTGCCAGCACTTTCCCTTTAATGTAAATCAACCAGTGTGGTCAACCCTGCCAGCACTTTCCCTTTAATGTAAATCAACCAGTGTGGTCACGGAGCCTTTAATACTGGAAACTACCGTCAGGGAAACTCCCTGTTAGGACTCTTCCCTCTTACTCTGTCCTTTCCGGGATCTCTTTACCGCTTTGCAGACATCACTGTTCATTAAACCAATCCCTTCCTGGGCCCAGGCTGCTCTAGCCTGGCAGCACTCTTTCCAAACCTCTCCGTCCTATGCCAGCTACCCTATTTAGAGTCCTGGCTTGGCGCCCTCCTCCACTGTGGGGGCTCTAACTCTCTGCCAGTGATCGTGGTTTGCCTTCCAGGCCTCATGTCCCCATTTCAGCCACCAGAGCACTACATGAAATTACTTTCCAGGTCACGTGATGCATCCTGTCCTGATGACTGTGCTCAGATCCATCCTTTCTGTAGACAAGGGTGTTTTGAAATTTGACTAACATTATCAGTTTAAGTTTCTCCCAACATCCTGTTCCTTACTCATTTTGTGTGCAGTGCAGAAGCAAATTGTGTCATTAGCCCCAATATAGGATTTGGGGAGCCCCGAACCACTTGGTTTCCTAAATAAGGGCTAAAAATAAGAATCAAAAAGAACCACTAGATATATGGGTATTCATACAAATATGTGTTAAAGATTACATGGAAATTTTTGTGTGTAGGGGGCTATCTTTAAAAACATTTGCAAGTTTGGTCACTAAAGTTTTAAATATTGAAGTGTAGAATTAGAAATTCTGTGTAACTTATACCATGAGTTACCTGTAATCCCGGTTGTGCTGATTTATAGTTAACATCAAGGTGGGTGCCTATCAAAATTTACAACAAATTTGACAGCTTATTTATATCATCAGTAGCTATTATGCCATAAAAGGTAGTTAGATTTACCAATTTGGGTTTTTTTTTCTCTCCAGTATGTGAAACAACTTAATGGTCTCTGATAGTGGCATATGTAATTTAATCCTTATTTATTAAATAGAAATCTTAAAGGTCAAAGGTCCAGCAGCACATCTCTATGTTTATCATAGAACACTAGAAGGAAGTCTGATAAATGTGATGTCCGTCTCCATCTTTTGTCAGTGCATACCACAGTAGTTGAGGGTAGGCCCTGACGCTGACTTGCCTGGGTTTGACACTGAGCCAGCGTACTACTAGCCTGGGCAAATACTTCGTGCCTCAGTTTTCTCATCTATAAAATGGACTATTCCTGCTAACTCTCTTTTAGGGTTCTAGCAGCTAACCATGTCTGTGCCACCTATGAGCTCCATGTACAGTTTTGATCGTGTACCCATGGGTAGAAATGAAGCATGTGCCCACCCCCAATATCTGTAAGCCTATGTGTTACATTAATGTACCTGAGTGCCAACATACATTGTGTATTTTATAAAAGAGAAAGCGGAGATTCTTAAAGTATTAGGAAAAACAAAATTAGTAGTTCTGATACTTTCTTCTTCCCGACAGAGGCCCTTCTGCACCCACCGTGGAGATAACTGATCTGACTCAGTTCCTCCCAGAGGGAGTTAGTGCTGTGTGTCCCACCCAAGGAGCAAAGGGCCACGGCACTGAAGACAAGCACTATGTTGGGATAGGCGGGGCTTGAGGGTGGCCATAGCAAACACAGAGAACAGACCTGTGTTCTAAGAGAGCAGGGTTGTGAACATACGGAGCTGCAGGGGTCTTGTGGGAGCGGAGACCTGTATATGGGGCGAAATGATCCCCACCGCTGGAGCACTTTCCAGGGGCCCAGCATGGCGCGAGCTGCATCATGTGCGTGAGTTTCTTTCTTATCCCGCCTTAGGAGGTGGGCTGGTCTACAAAGCCATCAGAGCCAGGAACCGAAACCTAGGTCTTCCTTGCTCTAGAGCCTCACGTTCTCAACCCCGGGGCTGAGAAAGTGAAACAGGAAAACCCTGAGGTGGCTACTGGTCTCCGAATGGCAGTTTCTGAGACGACCCCACCCACTCACAACTTCCTGCAAAACCAGCTCATCTCAGGGCCACCACACAGAGGAGGAGCCTCCTAGCTCAAGGTGTGGTGAGGCGCGTTTGAAAGGAGAATAAGCCTTATTTTCCAGTATTTGTACATTATGACCAGTTAATTTAGGAGGAGAGGTAGCTAGATTTGTGGAAATAGTTAATGAAGCCTGTGTGTAAAAGTCTTAAACAACTACCTGGGAGGCCAGACAGAATTCTGTGCCATTGCAATTAAATGCTGTGCTATAGGGGCTGGCCCCATGGCATAGTGGTTAAATTGCACCCGCTCCACTTTGGGGGCCCTGCTTCATGGGTTGGGATCCAGGGCATGGACCTACACCACTTGTGTCAGCCACGCTGTGGCAGCAACATATGGGATAAAGTAGAGGAATATTGGCAGAGACGTTAACTCAGGGCTAGTCTTCATCAAGCAAAAAAAAAAAAGGAAGATTGGCAACATGTTAGTTCAGGGCTAATCTTCCTCAGCAAAAAAAAACCTCTGATGTAAGACAATGCCCTCTAGGAGGTATTACTTGTAATTCAGTGGGACACACAAACCATATTATCTTAAAGGAAGAAAATATAAGAGAATATGATTAGGAGTAGGACCTGGGCCAGCTAAGGAGCCCACCCATTTTCCACTAAGAGGCAACAGGATCTTGTGAGAATCACGTTAGTATCTTACGTGTGTGATCATGCTTATGTAAGTGGTATAGTAATCATTCCGTGCCATGAATTCAATCAGACTTCGTGCTGGCTCTGAAGTTCAGAGTGAAGAGAAGCCCTTCAAGCGTTTTTCAGGATGGTTATGAGGACCCTGCAGTTAGAAATCTGTTGGTTGCAGTTGTAATCTAGCAAAGCAAGTATGCTTAACAGGGATCCTCGCACTTGTGTGTGCATTAGAATCATCTGGAGAGTCTGCTCCCTTCCAGAGTGCCTAGTCTCTCCAAAGAGTCTGAGTCAGTAGATGGGATGACATTCAGGAATCTGCATGTGTAACCAGTTATTTTTTATGCCGGTGCTTCTTGGACCACCTGGAGAAACACTAGTGTTCAGAGCAGTGCCCTCACAAAGATGATAGCTCTCATGGGAACAAGGAGGAAGCCAAGCAAGGCTGAAGCTTGTCTGGTTACTTCTCATCCTGTACAGGTAGTTCTTTCCAAGTGGTCTCCATCTAAATCGAATAAGCCCACCTTTAAGTCAAGGGGGAAAGGAAATGGACTTTAAAATACCATGGGTCTAGAGAAAGAGTATGACAGTTTCCCAAAACCTAAAAATAAAATTGCCATATGATCCAGCAATCCCACTAAAAAGAACTGAAAGTAGGGTCTTGAAGAGAGATTTGTACACCCATGTTCATGGCAGCATTAGCCACAATAGCCAAGAGGTGGAAATAACCCAGATGTCCAAGAACAGATGAATGGATAAACAAAATGTGGGATAGACATGCAGTGGAATATTACTCAGCCTGAAAAAGGAATGAAATTCTGACACATTCCACAACATGGATGAACCTTGAGGACATTATGCTAAGGGAAATAAACCGGTCACAAAAGGACAAATATTGTATGACTCCACTTAGGTGAGGTACCTAAAGTAGTCAAATTCACAGAAACAGAAAATGGAATGGTGCTTGCTAGAGACTGGAGGGAGGGAGGAATGGGAGCACTTGTTTAATGGCTACAGAGTTTCCATTTTGCAAGATGAAAAGAGTTCTGTGGATGGATGGTGGGGATGTTTGTCCAACAATGTGAATGTAATTAATGTCACCGAATTGCACACTTGAAAAGGGTTGAAATGGTAAATTTTATGTTCTGTATACATTACCACAATAAAGTTTTAAAAACCAAGTACTGTGAGTTTGAAGTGAGAGTAGGGGACATACACTGCTGATGGGAATGTAAACTGGTGCAGCCACTATGGAAAACAGTATGGAGATTCCTCAAAAAATTAAGAATAGAAATACCACATGATCCAGCTATTCATTCCACCTCTGGGTATTTATCCAAAGAGCACAAAAACACGAATGTGTAAAGATATTTGCTATGTTCAGTGAACCGCTATGTTCCTTGCAGCACTATTCAAAATAGCCAAGACTTGGAAACAACTTAAGTATCCATCAATAGATGAACAGATAAAGAAGATGTGGTATATATGCACAATGGAATACTACTCAGCCATTAAAAAGATGAAATCTTGCCATTTGCGACAAGATGGATGGACGTTGAGGGTATTAGGCTAAATGAAATAAGTCAGATGGAGAAAGTCAAATACCACATGATTTCACTCATAAGTAGAAGATAAAAACAACAACAACAATAATAAACAAACATAGATACAGAGATTAGATTGGTGGTTACCAGAGGGGAGAGGGGAGGGCAAAAAGGGCAATAGGGCACATGTGTATGGTGATGGACGGTAATTAGTTTTCGGGTGGTGAACATGATGTAGTCTACACAGAAATCAAAATATAATGATGTACACCTTAAATTTATGTAATGTTATAAACCAATGTGACCTCAATAAAAAATAAATAAAGTGAGGGCAGAGGAGACAGTCAGGCTCCCCTCCTCTGAGGAACAAGCAGCTGTCTCAACCTGATTTCCTCCCCAAAGTTAACCAGAAGCACATGAGAGGTGGGACATTAAGGAACAACTTGCCCGTCAACGTTTGGGC